AGCGAATGTTTCAATTCCACGTAGCGCGATGCGCCAATCCGCCACAGGGTGCTGGTCGCTCCAAAAAAACCGGGTTTTGTGTTTCGAAATGTTTATTTTTTTTTAAAGAAGAACTGGTCGGCTGGTCCACGCTGCGGAGCAGCCGCAATTTACACGCGGACCCGTCATGCCGGAACGCCCTGACGGACATTCACGTCTCTTCTTATTTTCCAACGCTTTCTATTCCAATTTTTTCTTCCACTTTTGTCCCACTGGGTTGCAATCTCCTGGCTGTACTTGTCTCAAGCGCCACATATCCGCCAGCCGCACCGATTATCGGCGAATTCGCTGAAATTGGAACTACTTTCTTTCTTTTTTTTTCTTCTTGTTTTTACTTTTACTTTGATATAGGTGTATATGTGAATAAAATCCTTTTTAGGACTATAGATAAAAAAAATTGCGAAAGCCTGAATAAAGACTTGCCAAATTGAAAAGGTCATTTTTGCGCCAGATTCCATTGACCATAAAGAATCATCTCAAATCAGTTTTTTTTGCTTTTATGAGTTTCCTTTATCAGAGGATTCAGAAATAGGATCTTGCCAAATAGTTTTTCGTAGATGTCAAAGAGATTTTTTTGCTTTTTTGAACTCTATTTAAAAACAACTTCATTCGAAAAACACGAAGACGAGAGTTCGTCCTTGAGTTTCGCCATCCGATCATTGACTTATAGGTCACTAGCCATCTGAAAACCCATCTTTTCGATCATTCTAAAAAGTCAGAAAATTACGAGAAGTCGTCTTTTTAAAATATTGAAAAGTTGGGGTGCAACCATATTTAACTGTGTCAAAATAGATCCAAATTTTATGATTGCACCACGTGCTTCTTTCTCTTTTATGCAAATGACAGATTGGTGAACGCGGCAATGTGATGGCCCCAGGGCGTGAGGAACCGTCCGCGTCCGTGTTATTCTTGAAACAAAAACGTGTTGATGTTATTGTGACGTTTTGAAAGAAAAAAGCGTTATCAGAAGTGTGGAAAACGGGCACATATACGGTTGGCAGGAATCGAGGCAAGAGTATATTTGCTCTCCGGCGCCGCGCTGGTTTTCAGCGTCACTCAGGCCTGTAGGCAAGTGCACCATCCTTTGGCCCTTATCTATTTTTTTTACCTTATTGGTTGCTTTTTCTCTTGTTCTAGTCTTTTACAATCCCTTATCAGCGAGACGCAATGTTGCCATTTATTTCTATCCGCTTACTGTTTGCCAGCTTCGAGATACTTTGGTCTCAAAGATCCGCAGAAAAAAGAGTTGATCTTCTGCGGAAAGACACCAACAACGCACTATTTCCAATGGCCTACTCCGCTTCCAGCAAGTAAAGGTGCGACTGCGCTAGCTGACCTGCATTTCACCGCGTCTGTTGCAAATTTTTTGTCCTACACTTCTTCCAGCCTATTTTTTCCGATCTTTCATGAACTCGACTTTTTCCGGTTTTTTGGGTCTCAACGTCGTGTTGTCGTGTACTTCTAGTTGTTGAAATAGGACAGCGCTACCTTTTTTGGGTTTACCGACATGAAGAAGATATTAATGTTTCTTTTAGTTCTTTTCAGCGTGTTTTTCTCAGTTAGAGAATTCTGAATGCAAAATAACTCCTAGTTTCTCTTCAGACAAGTGACGCAACATTAGTTATCAGCGGAACACAAAGTACAATAATTTCTTTCAATGGACGACCAAAAAGGATCAATCAAGTCATCGGTCCACGACTTCATGGAAGTTCTCGAGAAAAATTCTGGAGAGATACTTAACTGATTACCGAATTCTCTTTCAGTCATTCAAAAACTTTGCTTTCAATTATATCATTGTGCAATCAGAAAATCTCACGTGAATCAGTTTCCACTAACAAACTAACATTACTGATTTCTACTGTAGTTCTATGAAACGAAGGGTAGAAAAAAAGAGACCTGTTTCGATATAGATTTTTTTAGAAATATCAAAAAAATATCAAAAGGCTTTTATAATATATTTCAATCAAACTACATTACCGTTTTCTTTTTCAATCGCCGATTTGTTTATAATCAATTGTAATAAATTGTGCTACAGTAATCTGTATGCGGCAAAAAGAAAAAAACATAGCTGGCTTCGACGCCGTAATTTCAATGTAAACATATAACAACAACCAAGTGAAATCATAACAACAAAAGTAACTACGGTAACTCAACACGCCACTCAAGGGCTCATATATTTCTATTTTTGTTTTCAAGTCAAGTACAGAAAAGTATTTCTAGGAAAAATAGGTGTCGTCTATTTGTTTGTAGAGCGCCACTGCGTGTGTGTTGTGCGCGGCTCTTGTGTCTACGGTGGAGCAGCTTCTGCCAAACTTCCATCGTCGCCGAAAGTCCGACTGTTTGTTGCCTGGCTACCATCTAACCATTTTGTTTTTCTTCGTTCTTTCTTCTAAAAAAGCCTTTTTTTTGAAAAGTTCTAGCAAGATAGAGCCTCCTTTGAAATGAGAATTTATGAGTTTGAATCATTACGGACTGAGCAAGACAAGTGTGTGGGGTGAACATTGCAGATCTGATCCATACTTCTGTTGTAGTTTTTTTTTGACAGGCTATTCTCAGTACCTTATGGCGCTCAGTATATAACTTTTTTTTGTTCTCCAATAATCATACCTTGGACTAGCTACCACAAAAGTTCGAACCATATCTGCGATGCTCACCTCACACACTTACCTCGTATTTAAGCAAAACGAACAAACTAACGACACCGATTTCAATATTCGAATTTTTCGGCTTTTTTCGATTTCCAAAAAATTTCTGAAGTAGAACAACCCACGTCATTGAAACTCGAGTTTCTTCGAAACTTTGATTCAAATTTTTAAAAATGAGTTCTATTATCAACTCTCGCCAAAACTTAAAAATATTTTGGTTGCTTTTTTTTCAAACGGTTTTTTACAAAAATTTTTCTCAGGAATTGGCTCAAAAGTTCAGTTTTCGCGTTCTAGACGAAAAAAATAACAAAACAAGTTATTTCAATCGTTCAGACGTTCAGCAACACTCTAAACATCTTCCGCTCGTTTTCGCTTGCTTTTGCTCAAAATTGAATTTGAGTTCAGGACCACGGTCATTTTTTTCACTTATCGTGGTCCTTCTCCCCTAGGCTTGTGGGCGGCGCCTAATCGCTTTTTTCTTTTGCGTCCTTCCCCTCAGGCTGCATCGCCGTAGCAAAACAAAAATTTCGCGCTACCATATACCTATTGAAAATAAAAAACAAGTGCGTTCCCATTGGAAGGTCGTTGCTTCTCGAGTTCCTGCGGTTCAATTATTTCTCTAAATTTAATTGTTTTCACGAGGCTTCGAAGATCGCTAGTCTCTTTGGACTTACTCTTTGGTTGCATTTAGTTTTATTTCAATGTGTAATCTTATCGCCTAGTGTTATTCAGCACTGCGACAGGTGGAAACTGACATCATTTTTGTGACTTTTCCGTTGGTGCAAGGTGAGTAATCATTTGTTTTTAGGAATTTCCATCAGTTTACTGTATTTGAAACAAGGAAGTTTGATGAAAAAAACTTTCAATTTGTCGAAAAAAATTGTAGAAAATTTTCACGTAACTTTCTAAGATCTAAATTTACTTTTGTTTCAATAGGAAGTTATATCATCACAACTCCAAATTTTGATTCACAACTCCAAACTCCAAATTTTGATTTCGTAGTAAATTATGGCGTTCAAGAAGAAAAACAGAAAGAACTACGACGTTTGCATGTGAAGAAAATTATCCTTATTTTGGCCGAAAAAAAAACGAGAAGCCCAAAAACAAGCTCGAAATTGCCATACTTCTCGAAGGTAATTGGTAATTAGGCGAGTCTCGAAAAGAAAATTGTTTCTATTGAAGTTTCCAATTTTCTCTTTCCGAACGTGTTTTTGACATTGTCGATGGGTTTCTGACGTTCTTGGAGACCTTGAACGCGGAAAAAACAACAATATTTTTCCCTATGTTTTCTCTCTTCTCTTCATAGTTCTATCTCTAGTGCTTTTCTGAGTGAGTAGGGAGAGAATTGCCAGCTGAAACAAACACCTAAGAAGTGTGTTGAGTTGGCAATCGACAAAATTGCAAAGAACGTGAGCCTCGGCCCATGCCCATGTCATCAAAAATGTCTTCATTTTCGCCTTGTGAGCTTGAAAGCGTGTTTTTCTTTCTTCTGCGCAGCTTTTCTTCCACTCATTTGTTATTAGGGGCGGCATACGTACTTTCCTGAGGAGACCTTTTTTTGCCTCACGTATGTATTTGCAAGAGAGTGTCTGTTGTTGTGTTTGTTTTGCATCAATTGGTGGCGCGGCCCAACCCTCCGGCGGCAATTTGAAACGCGAAAGAGCCCAAGGCAAAAATTTCAGACCTGACGTCGTTTATCCCAAAAAAGTCGTCCGCACTTGCCAACTTGAAGCCTACGAGTCCAAACAAAGGAACATCTCATGTTATTTTTTCATTACTTTTCCGCCCAAGGATTATCCACATCCTAAATCCGTCCCAATAATCTAGGAGGTTTAACATATTGAAAAAGTCTCATCTGGCTGCTTGACGTTCTCATTGTTCCTGCACTTTATGGCTTCTACTGAAAAAATAGTGATACTGTACTTGATTCTCTAAAAAAGTAGGTTTTTCTTTTCTTTTTTACAGTGTTATGACTTGTTGATGCAAGGGAAATCAGGCGTCATTTTATCATCTCAGTTGCATGAGAACTGGAGTTTGATAAGACAGTTTTCCTCTCACGCCAATAGCAGACGGTTGGCATCGTTTTTTTTTCCCAAAGTTTACCGCACCTTTGGGGTCATTAACCCTCGGAGTCCAAAAAAGGACGTTTTTAATCATTTTCCTTCATATATGCTTATAAGTTCATTTCCTTTATGTCGTTGTTACTTTTTATTTTTTTTTCTGATAATTTCCATTTCTCTCATGTCATGTTTTCATTCGTTCCTGTCGCTTTTTTTTAATTCTCAGTTTCAAGTTGTAAAATTTAATTATTTGCAGATGGAACTGTTGGCATCTGGGCATTTGATGCCGTCCGCAACATCATTAGAAATTGTCAAAGTAGAGCCTATATTGTCAGTGAAGAGCGAGTTCTTGGATTCCGTAAAGACAGAACCACCGAGTCCACCGGCGCCAGCGACGGCACACGCTAACGGCATCGCAGTCACAGCAACACCGACATTGACAGACCAACTCCGGTCTCCTGGAAATTATGAGAGGCCATCCTTGTCCTACAAAGACCTTATAATTGAAGCCATTGAATCAAGTCCTGAAAAACGGTTGAAGCTCAACGAAATTTACCAGGTATTTCTTCTTCAAATTTCCATTTGTCTAAGTGCGTTCGATTTTATCAGTGGCGCCTACTGTAATTGTTTTTGAAACGTTCAAAAAATTTTTCCTACACACTTCTCATTATCAAGAAACCAGATTGTAATCGGTCAACTAGACCAGTTTCCAGTGTTCCTATGTGTTAATTTCGGAGAATAGCAGTTTTTCAAGTAGTTTTGAGAACTTTCGAAACCCGAGAGCAGACCAAGTGTCTCAGAAAAAAAAAGTCCGAACGCACTTTCGTCCTTCCTCCCTTATGCATGACCATTGTGAAAAATTGCTAGCGTCTTGTTATTCTGGCCTAATACGTTTGCCTTGGAACAAAACTTTTTCTTCGTGAAAACAATTCCGAAAACAACCCGAGGGTGGCGTACTGTATGCCTTTCCGCAATGTTCATAGTTCAACAAACTTAGAGAAAACGAAAATTTTTCCGTTTTGTGTGTAGCGTGCAAACTGACTAGCGTTTCAGAAAGTTGGTCTTTCGTCGTTTTTCCGATATCCACAAAAGATAGACAAAAAAACTGTCTCGAAGAGTCCAACTTTTTTCAAAAAGAAGTTTGGTTGTAGTGAGACAAAGCTTTTCATATTTCTGTTATGAACTTGCGTTTTCCAGGTGATCCGTTATCTCCACCCCTACTACCGCCATCGACCTGATCAATGGGGATGGCAGAACTCGATCCGCCACAACCTCAGCTTGCACGATTGCTTCGTCAAACTTCCACTCAAGCAAACATCTGCAAGCGGTGTCGTAGGTAAGACCTTATCGTATTGCAAATTTTTCTAAACGGTTTGCTGCATTTTGGGCTGCGAATGAGCAAAATAATAAGTGCAGCTCAGCTTCAAAGGCAATCTAAAGTTGAGAGGCGGAGCACCTCAAAAGTTGTTTTGAAAGGAAGGAGAAGGACGAATGGGAGAAAAGGCCACACGATACGCTTGTTTTTGTTTTTTTGCTATTCAGGCGGAGCATAACAACTTGCCCGATCTCTGGTCTGTTTTTTCCCGAGCTTCCAGTAATTGAGGCTTTTGCCCGGCGTTTTTAATTTATTCCCTCCAAATGAAGAAAAAAAATGTGCGAAAAAAACAAAACAATCCAGAAAGACGGAGCTTCATTTGCACTCGTCCGTGTTCATCAATTGGCTTGACGGGAAACGTTTGTTTACCCAAAGCAACTTGAAGAGTGTAGAAAAGAACAGAGAAAAGCTGGAAAAGAACGCGCCAACTCGGAGTTTTCCGACCGCGACAGAAGGAAAAAACAGCACCATTAATCTTGGCACAACCCGCAGGCAGATATGCGTCCGAGAGCTCCGTTTTTCTGCTTCTTCTTTTTTTTTGCTCCACATCTTCTCTCAACGCAAACAACATGCAAAAGAAACATGAGGACTCGGGGTGGGCAAGCCACGAACTACATAAACGCTTTCCATTCAAGATAGAGGAGAAAAAAACTGAATAAAGTGGCATTTTCTTCCCAAAAAAATTGCATTATCATAAATTTCGAGCAGAACGTCTTCCAAAAAAGTTGTCTATTGCATTTCGGAACGCGGAAATTACCTCGAAGTCAAACATCCGTGCATCTTTGAATTTGATACAGTAGCCAGCTTATTTGATCGATTTGATTGGATATATTGATAAACTTGCAGGTCACTTCTGGACAGTCGTGCCAGAACTCAGCGACAAGCAGACTCTGCGAAGAAGAAATCGAACTCAGCAAAGGACGGCGAAAAAAGCAGACATGATTCGTCCAGGATCAAGAGAAGACAGGACTAGCTCTGGCAGTGGAGAGACGTCTCCGAGTCCGTCTCAACCGTCGGTCAGCCCTCCGAACGAGCTACCTAAGCCTCAACCGAGCTATGCCAGCGTGGAAAACTTGGACAGCTACAAACTCCTATCTTCTCTCATCTGCCAACAATGTAATTTTTCTCTTTTTATAACGAATGGAAAAAGAAAAAATCTGATCTCGAAACTTTTTTCAACAAATCATCCGGCTTCACCCACGTTCTTTTTTTTTATTTCGGATATTTTTTAATCCTTTGACGTTAGTGTTTGCAGATTATCCGAAACCTTTCTTGTTTTTAAGCTTCTTTAATGAAGCAAAGTTAAAAAGTGCAGCTATAAATATTTACAAAAAAAAAAAACATATGAGGCTGCTTAAAATGAGCTGATTCTAGGATGAGGAACTAGTTAAGACATGAAAGCTCAGACATAGGAAAAACAAGTTTATTTTCAGTTCTGAATCACGGATTTCCACGTCAAATGAAATTCTTAAATGAAAAAAATAATAATATTTTTTGGGAGTTTGAAAAAGGAGTGTTGTGAAATTCGAAGAATCATCTTCAGTAAGTGAGAAAAGCACGCAAGTATTTGATTAGAGTTTTTCATATGGCAAATTTAATTGATTTTTCCTGTTACCATTTCGAGCCATTTCTCAGGAAAAAAAAGCAGAATAAGTTCATTCAGCTGTTTTAATGAATGAAGTTTGAAAAAATCACATGAAAACAAAGCTCTGGAAAACCTAGGGTTTGTAAAAAACACTTCGAGAAGTATTGACAAGGAATATGAATCTTTAAGAAAATTTTTGCAGTGTCGGCAATAAACTCGATCCAACAAATAGCCCAAGTGACTGGCATGCCTTTGAGTCCCGGACTTCTCAATCTGAACATCAACCCACTGTCGCAGCTGCTGTCGCTGTCGCAGTTGGCGACGACGTCCATGCCGACGACGCCGATCGGCGCAGTGCCGCCGTCCATTTCTCCTATCAAATCTGAGCCATCTTTTCTTATGCAATAGGAGCCGATTGTTTTAAAAAAAAACTTTGTTTCAACCTATTTTCATTCGAATACTCTCTCTTTTATATGGATTGATTATCCTGTTGGTTGTGCGTAAAGTTGGCACATTAACTGATCTCTAACTTTAATTCACCATTTTATCCTTGATTTCGTTTTTTATGGATTGATTTTTTTGTCTACCCCTTTTCGAAAACCTCCAATTTGGTTTTCTTTCGATATTCCAATGACTCAACCTATCTCACCTTTATTCAATGCATCGTTCATGTTCCAAGATCACTTTGTACTTTTGTCCTCGGTTGTTTGATACTCTTACTGTCATTTCTTTTGTCACGGTCCATGTTAGTGAATCCTGACCCAGTGATGCGTTTGGCAGCTGTATTCCTCGAAATGCACTCCATACGGGAAAACTTTAGTCATTGCCAGCCAATCCGCGCCTAGCTGTAGTCCTTAACCATCTTTCTCATATCGCGGTACAAATAGGGTAGTTCAGATGTTGAGATATGCAGAAATCACATCTTTTTTTCCTCTTTACGTGGTCTAACTTAAGGCCTCTATCATTTTTTATGCACAGACAGTTATAGCAACAATTCTCTTTTGTTGTTCTTTTTTTCCGAATTTTTCAAACTAATAATAACAAAGGAAAGAAAACTCTGCAAAACTTCCTTCTTAAAATTTCGAAGAAAGGAAAAAAAAGGCCTTCTTTCCTTCATCAAATCTGAAATGTATTAATTGATATTAACCATTTTTTGCACCGTCGTTGGTAAGTGCAAGTAGCTCCGAATACTTGTAGTTTTTCACGAGTCCCGTTGAATATGATTCTTTTTTCTCACTTTCGCCTTGACGTCATAGTGAAAGGACGGCAAAATCGAAGTTCATATTGTTACACATCTTTGCTGAAATTTCACGACTTCGTGGCTTCAAGGGGCAATTTCAGTGCAGCTATTAGTTTTTTTTGTGAATAGCTTCACCCCATGGCCTTTCTAAATTCCTTTGTCACCCCTTCTTGACTCTGCATTACTCACTTCAAACACACATTACCGATTCGCATGCAACATGTACTCATTGTGGACATTTAGACTTTTAGCTGTGATGCCTTTTATGGAATGATTCGTTTGATAATCCTGTTTTTATGCGTTGAATGTTTTATGAATTGATCTTGAGCGTGAGGTTCTTTTTAGACGAGCCTGCGCATACCGGTTGACATAAATTGTGCACCCCAATCTTGCAATGCTGAAATTTTTTATCTTTATTTCTATTTGATCTATTCGATCATTACTCGGAAGAATTCGTTGGTTTTGTTTTCTTTTCCCATGTTTTCGTTTTCTTTCGAATAAAAATTGTTGTAACGCGCTGAAGTACGCATTGCAATCAATCGAGCGAAAGAGTGCAATAATCGCCATGGGGCATCAAGAGGCAGGAAACAATTGTTCGTTTTGTTTCGCTACGCAACGCTCGCCAAATTAAACAAAACCTTTCTATAAGAACGAAAAACACTATTTGACAAGAAAACACTTTTTCAGAGGACCCTATCCATTATATGGGTGTTCACGATTGAGTCTTGTCTTGAAAAGTTTGACACAGACAACAGTGAATTTGGCTTAAACTTCGAAATTGCTTAGCTCAAGCAATGAAATAAAATAAGCTCAAATTTAATTCGATTTTGTAGATTTGGTCTGCACCCTCTTTGGTGCAAATCCGAAAATTCTTCACACGAGATATGTGGCCAAGCAACATGTAAGATATTTTCAACTTATAGTCAATTTTTCTCAACTTGTGAAAGGTGTGATGTGTAAACTGGAGATTGAACGTTGCATGTGCGACGCGGCTAGTAGAAAAGGAATTTTTTTTCGGTCAACGGTTTAACTTTCCATTGAAATAGGCTGATATCTACTTCAGGAGCTCCTGTTCCCAGAACAAAAAAAACATTCTACGCTCTAGGTCATGCTTCCGTTTTGAAATTTCAAAGTACTCGAATAGTCGTGTGTTTCTGAGGCTTGTTACTCAAAAAAAAAAAAAAACTTGTTGCGAGTATTTTTTCTAGTTCTGGAATCAGAAGGCCCGGATCAAATTTCAGCCAAGTTTCTTCAAAAGTTCAGTAGGGGTGAGAAAAAATTCCCTTGTAAGACAATTAATCTTTAAAAAAAGCCTCAAGTTTTTGAAAACAATGACAGTTCAAGTTTCAATATGTATGTTTCGTAGAAAAGGTTATTGAAAAACCAAACGGTTTTTTTTCAGGTTATATTTATTTGTCCTAGCCGAGCACTTCATCATGAAGTTATCGAAACCTTGTAATTCTATTTATTGAAAAAAATTGATACTTCTTCTTGAAATTTTTTTCTGTAATTGAGATTGAATGTGTTTCATAACTGCGAAAAAGTTTCCATATTTACTTTGAATAACAAGTTTGGCGAGCAAAATATATGACATAGAACGAAAAAATTGGCCGACTGCTCAGGCCGAAATCGCCAAAGCAAACACTCGGCGTGCATGAAAACATGTTTTCGACATCTTAGGGGAATATTGTCTCTGAAAAAAGAAGGAAACGAGTGAATGCATGCGAAACAATCATTTTAGGCGACGTCTCTCGCGCTCCCTGGTTGAAACTTGCCCTTGGGATGGAACGAACTCGAGTTTCCGAAAAACATGCCCTGTTTTTTTTGTCTTTTTTTACGCCTTATCTTCTCTGCAATGAGCGAGTTGCGGCGTTTTGTGTGTTTTGGTATATTTACCCTCTGAAAGTCAAACAATGAGACATTCAAAAAGGAGAAACGATTTTATTTCAAAAACATATTGGCCAAATGTATGTTTGTACGTCGTATCACAATTTTGGAGAGTTGAAGTCCCTTCGATTTGCCCTCCAAAAAAATTATGCGACCAGCGATGGAGCCGTCTGCAAATTTTGTGTTGTTTGTTTGGGGCTGAATCGACGTTTGGGTTTATTGAAAAGTTAGGCTGCTGGAATATATGAGCTCTAAAAACACGCGAGATCGCGGAATATTTGACGAACATCTCAAGGCAGACCAAATAATTACTGAAAAGCGGTGAAAGTTATCAACACTAAAAGTTACTGTTAAAAATTTTTTTCAAGTAGCTGCAAAAAGGAAAATGGGCAAATTTGAAAAAAGCTCATTTCTGAGTCTATCGAAAAAAATATAAAAAGAATAAACGAATGAACTATCACTTTCGCCATTTTCAACTGAAAATTTCTGCTCGGTTCTGAAGAAAAACTGGCTGGCTCAAAACTCCAAAAAAACGGGTAGTAAAAAAGTCGATAAAATGCACGTTAATTTTTTGGAAACTTGGAAATTTATTTTATTTTTTTTTTGGAGTTTAGGCAACTTTGATATGATGTTATGGAAAAATACTTTTTACTAAAAAAGGACGAACTATCTAACAAAAAGACTATTTTCCTTGTTTTTGTTATTCCGACTCGCATGCCGTCCTGTTTTTTTGAATTAAGTGGGATATTAAGAGAAATTTGTTGAATACCTGGAAAGGAACGATTCCTTTGCACTTGACTTCATCCTGATAGGTCATGAGATACCCTCCGGTCGAGTTGGAAACTGTTGGACGGAACGAACCAAACTCGCTTCCTTCTTTGATTTCAACGGCTCTCCCGTCAAACATCAGCGGGATCAACCCTTCACTGGCCTTGGACATCGGTATTGCGTCCCCAATATGAAATTCATATCTTTAGAGAAGCTCATAATATAGTTTCAACTTTTGAAAATCAAAACTAACGAGGTAACGTTTCTTACCTCCCGGTTGAACTTTTGCTGACACTTTGCTTAAGTGTACTTCAGGACCTTCTGATTGCAGAAAAAGAAAAAAATTCTCGCAATAGGTTTTATTTTTGACTTATGAAGCTTCAAAGTCCGCAAAATGACAAAAAAGCGCTATTTCAAGCTTTCGAAGTGTCTCAACTCAAAAAGGAAATCTATTGCAAGACATTTTTTTTTCTGCAATCCGGAAGTCCGAAAGTACACTTCAGCGGAGTTTCATCAAAAGTTTAACCGGTGGGTATGAAACGTTCCTTAGTAAGAGCAGTCACTGAAGTTCGAAAGAAAGAGCAAAAGTTTTAAAATAGTTTACTTGGTTTCGTCTTCGGTCCAAAACATGACTCCCAGCTTTCCGAGAACTCGGAGCAAACTGCCGAGAGATAAAATTGTGAGAATCCGGACACATTCCTGGTTTCATCCCGTCTTTGTACTTCACATCGCTTGTCTGAATTTCATCGAAATGACGAAATAAGCAAAAAAAATAGAACTGAATACCTGAAGGCGTAAGTTTCCAAACTCATTTTTGCTATGAGCCGTTGATCCTCTACTCATGAGAGGAATGATTGACTCACTTTTTCCATTCTGAAATTTTTTTTTCGAGTTTTTTTTCATTCAGACCAATATCAAAATTTTTACAAAACATCCGAAACTCAGACTGACATCCAGATTTTTGTATTCATGATTGTCTACAACGCCTTCGACAGCAAGCCTCTTTCCTCCAAACGGCGTCATTCCGGATCGATTCGCACAGCTTCGTTCGTCATTCAGAAGCGGAATGACCGTTTCTGACTTCACTGCTCCCTAAAATGTTTACTTTTTTTTCAGAGAAAATTATTTTCTTATACTACCTGTATTAGTGGTTTTTCACCGTAATTGACAGTTGGATTGGCCTCTCGTGATTTTCCGAAGGCTCCCATTCCTTCTTGGGTCATTATGGCAGCTGTTTGCTCCCAGGGAATAACAAAAGGTATATACACATCTCTGAAAACAAAAAATAAAAAAAATGAACTTATCAGGAGGACCCACAAATGTCTCGGCTTTTTGGCGTAACGAAGAGTTGGCGGAATGCGCTCTTCCTTGTTTTTCTCAGCTATCGACTTTTCTTTCGGAGGCATTGGAATCGGTTCTTCTACTTTGATTGGTGGTATCCATTGTGGTTTCTTTAGCTCTTCAGGTTTCTCAGGTTGCACGGGTTCCACAGATGGAGCCTTCTCTGTATCTGGCTGAGGTCGTTTTCTACGTTTCTTGCTTTTCGGTTTTTTAGTAATTGGTTGATCAGGACCTTCAGATTTTGGTCGTTTTCTTTTGGGCTTATCTCCTGTAGGTGTATCAAATTCTGGTTCGTCTTCTGGCTCTTCTGATTCGGGTCCAGGCAAACTGAAATCGACAGAAGGACTTCCCGGCTCGTCGTCAGGAATTTTGAGCTTTGGACGTGAAGGTTCACCGTTTTCTGGTTCATCTTCTTGCTCTTCATCTATAGGCTCTTCTTCTGGTTCGTCAGGATCGTCTTCCCATGGCGGGCGCCACTTTTTCGGTGCTTTAGGTGCTTCAGGTTCCTTTGGTTTCTCTTCTTTCGGTTTCGGCTTCTCTGTCGGTTTTTTGTCTTCCGGTTTCTTCTCAGATTTGACTGGAGCTTTCTTCGGAGCTTCTTTTGGTTTCGGATCTTTGAGGCTCAACTTGGGATCTTTTGGTTTTGGTCCTCCTAAAGGATCAGCAGGTGATTCACTGTCTGGTTGCTTCTTCTTAGGTGGCAAAGTGAAGTCAGCAGTAGGAGTTTCAGGTTCATCTTCAGGTTGCTTAAGCTTCAGTGGAGCTGGTTCATCTTCTTCTGGTTCGTCAGGATCGTCTTCCCATGGCGGGCGCCACTTTTTCGGTGCCTTTGGTGCTTCAGGTTCCTTTGGTTTCTCTTCTTTCGGCTTTGGCTTCTCTGTCGGTTTTTTGTCTTCCGGTTTCTTCTCAGGTTTGACTGGAGCTTTCTTTGGAGCCTCTTTTGGTTTCGGATCTTTGAGGCTCAACTTGGGATCTTTCGGTTTTGGTCCTCCTAAAGGATCAGCAGGTGATTCACTGTCTGGTTGCTTCTTCTTAGGTGGCAAAGTAAAGTCAGCAGTAGGAGTTTCAGGTTCATCTTCAGGTTGTTTAAGCTTCAGTGGAGCTGGTTTATCTTCTTCTGGTTCGTCAGGATCGTCTTCCCATGGCGGGCGCCACTTTTTCGGTGCTTTAGGTGCTTCAGGTTCCTTTGGTTTCTCTTCTTTCGGTTTCGGCTTCTCTGTCGGTTTTTTGTCTTCCGGTTTCTTCTCAGGTTTGACTGGAGCTTTCTTCGGAGCTTCTTTTGGTTTCGGATTTTTGAGGCTCAACTTGGGATCTTTCGGTTTTGGTCCTCCTAAAGGATCAGCAGGTGATTCACTGTCTGGTTGCTTCTTCTTAGGTGGCAAAGTGAAGTCAGCAGTAGGAGTTTCAGGTTCATCTTCAGGTTGCTTAAGCTTCAGTGGAGCTGGTTCATCTTCTTCTGGTTCGTCAGGATCGTCTTCCCATGGCGGGCGCCACTTTTTCGGTGCCTTTGGTGCTTCAGGTTCCTTTGGTTTCTCTTCTTTCGGCTTCGGCTTCTCTGTCGGTTTTTTGTCTTCCGGTTTCTTCTCAGGTTTGACTGGAGCTTTCTTCGGAGCTTCTTTTGGTTTCGGATTTTTGAGGCTCAACTTGGGATCTTTCGGTTTTGGTCCTCCTAAAGGATCAGCAGGTGATTCACTGTCTGGTTGCTTCTTCTTAGGTGGCAAAGTAAAGTCAGCAGTAGGAGTTTCAGGTTCATCTTCAGGTTGTTTAAGCTTCAGTGGAGCTGGTTCAACTTCTTCTGGTTCGCCAGGATCGTCTTCCCATGGCGGGCGCCACTTTTTCGGTGCCTTTGGTGCTTCAGGTTCCTTTGGTTTCTCTTCTTTCGGCTTCGGCTTCTCTGTCGGTTTTTTGTCTTCCGGTTTCTTCTCAGGTTTGACTGGAGCTTTCTTCGGAGCTTCTTTTGGTTTCGGATTTTTGAGGCTCAACTTGGGATCTTTCGGTTTTGGTCCTCCTAAAGGATCAGCAGGTGATTCACTGTCTGGTTGCTTCTTCTTAGGTGGCAAAGTGAAGTCAGCAGTAGGAGTTTCAGGTTCATCTTCAGGTTGTTTAAGCTTCAGTGGAGCTGGTTCATCTTCTTCTGGTTCGTCAGGATCGTCTTCCCATGGCGGGCGCCACTTTTTCGGTGCCTTTGGTGCTTCAGGTTCCTTTGGTTTCTCTTCTTTCGGCTTCGGCTTCTCTGTCGGTTTTTTGTCTTCCGGTTTCTTCTCAGGTTTGACTGGAGCTTTCTTCGGAGCTTCTTTTGGTTTCGGATCTTTGAGGCTCAACTTGGGATCTTTCGGTTTTGGTCCTCCTAAAGGATCAGCAGGTGATTCACTGTCTGGTTGCTTCTTCTTAGGTGGCAAAGTAAAGTCAGCAGTAGGAGTTTCAGGTTCATCTTCAGGTTGTTTAAGCTTCAGTGGAGCTGGTTCATCTTCTTCTGGTTCGTCAGGATCGTCTTCCCACGGCGGGCGCCACTTTTTCGGTGCCTTTGGTGCTTCAGGTTCCTTTGGTTTCTCTTCTTTCGGCTTTGGCTTCTCTGTCGGTTTTTTGTCTTCCGGTTTCTTCTCAGGTTTGACTGGAGCTTTCTTCGGAGCTTCTTTTGGTTTCGGATCTTTGAGGCTCAACTTGGGATCTTTCGGTTTTGGTCCACCTAAAGGATCAGCAGGTGATTCACTGTCTGGTTGCTTCTTCTTAGGTGGCAAAGTGAAGTCAGTAGTAGGAGTTTCAGGTTCATCTTCAGGTTGTTTAAGCTTCAGTGGAGCTGGTTCATCTTCTTCTGGTTCGTCAGGATCGTCTTCCCACGGCGGGCGCCACTTTTTCGGTGCCTTTGGTGCTTCAGGTTCCTTTGGTTTCTCTTCTTTCGGCTTCGGCTTCTCTGTCGGTTTTTTGTCTTCCGGTTTCTTCTCAGGTTTGACTGGAGCTTTCTTCGGAGCTTCTTTTGGTTTCGGATCTTTGAGGCTCAACCTGGGATCTTTCGGTTTTGGTCCTCCTAAAGGATCAGCAGGTGATTCACTGTCTGGTTGCTTCTTCTTAGGTGGCAAAGTGAAGTCAGTAGTAGGAGTTTCAGGTTCATCTTCAGGTTGTTTAAGCTTCAGTGGAGCTGGTTCATCTTCTTCTGGTTCGTCAGGATCGTCTTCCCACGGCGGGCGCCACTTTTTCGGTGCCTTTGGTGCTTCAGGTTCCTTTGGTTTCTCTTCTTTCGGCTTCGGCTTCTCTGTCGGTTTTTTGTCTTCCGGTTTCTTCTCAGGTTTGACTGGAGCTTTCTTTGGAGCCTCTTTTGGTTTCGGATCTTTGAGGCTCAACTTGGGATCTTTCGGTTTTGGTCCTCCTAAAGGATCAGCAGGTGATTCACTGTCTGGTTGCTTTTTCTTCGGTAGCATGGTGAAATTGAATGTTGGAGTTTCAGGTTCGCTTTCAATCTCATTTTTTGATTGCGGGTCTTTCGATTTGAGACCCAGTACTGGTTTCAAAGGTTTCACAGGAGATTCTTCCGAATTTTTCTTTTCTGGTTTGGGCGCTGCTTTTTTCGGTGATGGATCTCTAGGTTTAGCCGAAGGTTTCGTAGGTTCTTTCGTCTTCAAACTTGGAACTGCTTTCTCAGGAGCCTTCTGAGGTACTTCCTCCACAGGAACTTCGTCATCTTCCCATGGCGGTTTCCACTTTTTCACCGGATTTGGTACAGCTGCAGGTGAAGGCGCAGCTTTTTTATCTTCTGGCTTGGGCGCTGCTTTTTTCGGTGATGGATCTCTAGGTTTAACCGAAGGTTTCGTAGGTTCTTTCGTCTTCAAACTTGGAACTGCTTTCTCAGGAGCCTTCTGAGGTACTTCCTCCACAGGAACTTCGTCATCTTCCCATGGCGGTTTCCACTTTTTCACCGGATTTGGTACAGCTGCAGGTGAAGGCGCAGCTTTTTTATCTTCTGGCTTGGGCGCTGCTTTTTTCGGTGATGGATCTCTAGGTTTAGCCAAAGGTTTCGTAGGTTCTTTCGTCTTTAATTTTGGAACTGCTTTCTCAGGAGCCTTCTGAGGTACTTCCTCCACAGGAACTTCGTCATCTTCCCATGGCGGTTTCCACTTTTTCACCGGATTTGGTACAGCTGCAGGTGAAGGCGCAGCTTTTTTATCTTCTGGCTTGGGCGCTGCTTTTTTCGGTGATGGATCTCTAGGTTTAACCGAAGGTTTCGTAGGTTCTTTCGTCTTCAAACTTGGAACTGCTTTCTCAGGAGCCTTCTGAGGTACTTCCTCCACAGGAACTTCGTCATCTTCCCATGGCGGTTTCCACTTTTTCACCGGATTTGGTACAGCTGCAGGTGAAGGCGCAGCTTTTTTATCTTCTGGCTTGGGCGCTGCTTTTTTCGGTGATGGATCTCTAGGTTTAGCCAAAGGTTTCGTAGGTTCTTTCGTCTTTAATTTTGGAACTGCTTTCTCAGGAGCCTTCTGAGGTACTTCCTCCACAGGAACTTCGTCATCTTCCCATGGCGGTTTCCACTTTTTCACCGGATTTGGTACAGCTGCAGGTGAAGGCGCAGCTTTTTTATCTTCTGGCTTGGGCGCTGCTTTTTTCGGTGATGGATCTCTAGGTTTAGCCGAAGGTTTCGTAGGTTCTTTCGTCTTCAAACTTGGAACTGCTTTCTCAGGAGCCTTCTGAGGTACTTCCTCCACAGGAACTTCGTCATCTTCCCATGGCGGTTTCCACTTTTTCACCGGATTTGGTACAGCTGCAGGTGAAGGCGCAGCTTTTTTATCTTCTGGCTTGGGCGCTGCTTTTTTCGGTGATGGATCTCTAGGTTTAGCCGAAGGTTTCGTAGGTTCTTTCGTCTTCAAACTTGGAACTGCTTTCTCAGGAGCCTTCTGAGGTACTTCCTCCACAGGAACTTCGTCATCTTCCCATGGCGGTTTCCACTTTTTCACCGGATTTGGTACAGCTGCAGGTGATGGCGCAGCTTTTTTATCTTCTGGCTTGGGCGCTGCTTTTTTCGGTGATGGATCTCTAGGTTTAACCGAAGGTTTCGTAGGTTCTCTCGTCTTCAAACTTGGAACTGCTTTCTCAGGAGCCTTCTGAGGTACTTTCTCCACAGGAACTTCGTCATCTTCCCATGGCGGTTTCCACTTTTTCACCGGATTTGGTACAGCTGCAGGCGAAGGCGCCGCTTTTTTTTCGTGAGCTGAATCGCGTGATTGTTTTCTGTTGGAGTTTTTTGTATCGAGGTCAGTAGGCATTTTCTCGGTTGATCCCAGTTCTTCAGTAGTTTTATCACTTTCGTCGTCGTTAATGCTCTCCAAGGGCGTACTCCATGTTTTCGGTTTACCATCCTCTGTTTTTCTGCTCAGTTTTCCATTCGACGACGTTGTTCCGTTCTCCACTCTCGGAGATGAAGGATCGTCTTCTTCCCATGGTGGCTTCCACTTTTTGAAGTTGTTTTTGACAGGGGTGGCGGGTGGATGAGATCGTCCGTACATTCCTCACGCCATAAAAAATCCAATCTGAACATGAAAATTACATTCGAATAAAAGGGAGAAACAAATTATTTCGTAAGCTACAGAGCAATGAGAGTGTAAGGTTTCACAAAACTTCGAGTAGATCATTATCTGTAGGAGTTTTATAGACCTGTCGCAAGCCGACAATGAAGCCGTTGACCTTTTGACTAATCAGATCACGTTCTGCTTGTATCTTTATGTTCGATTTCGGTCAGAATTTTGAAATGAGCTCATTTGTTCCAATCGGAGAAAGAAAGTTGTCTCATGAGTATGAAAAAGCGAAATCATACAAACATCAAAATAGCCTATGGAATAAATATTGAGAAAGACAATTACTCATGTGAGGAATGTGAGAATTCAAATGATAGCTCAATTTCGAAATAACTTTTGAACCCTTGTAGATATTTTTTGTTTCGAAGTCTAGTAAGGGAAAAGATTGTTTCAACGTTTGTATGTTTGCCAAAGCTTTTGAGACATTCTAAACGTTCTACAGAGTGCGCGAAATACGGTATTTTCGTTGATGAAAGAAAAAGATTGAGAATAAAAAATGAAGATTTTCCTAGGAAACTAGAAAGGCAATATCCTATATATACAATATCCTGATTTTTCAAGCGTTTCCCTGCTTTTACTCAAATTTAGAGGTAACCCTAATTCCCCTTGATTCTTTCTAAGAAAAGAGTCATCAAAATGTTTGCCCTCTTATTTTTAACTATTTCAATTCTTATTTTTGAACAGTATCCAGGGAATAAACCTATTAGTATTATTACTCCTTCATGTACCACCTCTCCGCGGTGATGGGGATCAACGACCATTTATGGCGGCAACGTCATAAATGGCGGCTAACGGTACACCGGTCACACAGTTCGCCTTGCTTTATGCTAATAGACCCTGGTCTGGTTATCCTCGTTGCCTAGCCCTGGCAAGGCAACGAGGATAACCAGACCACAAAAAAAAAAGCTAAAACACGTTCAAAAAGACGGCCCCAGTCCTCCGCCCGTCGGTCACGCGCCTCTCCGGTATCGGGGGCTGCCTCTGCCGACGAGGGGCGATCAAATCTCGGAGCAACAGGATACCATAGAAACGGACTACGGACGCGCCACGGTGACTGTCTACGTTTCGGAACCCTCAACTGCCGCTCGCTCGCTTCCGATGCAGCAAAAGAGCAATTGCTCGCGGCAAACCGAAACGCACTTATCGACATAGTGGCGTTCCAGGAAACAAAATCTCAAGACACCAGCTGTAACACCTGGCCAAACGGTGAACTTCTCATCCTCGGCCACAAAGTCCCTGGGAAGAACGTCGGCGGCGTCGGTTTCCTCGTCAATCGCTCGGTTCAACACCTTGTCGACTCGCACGAAATCGTCAATGCCCGTCTCGGCTCCCCCGACTCAACCTAGGAAAGCGAGGAAAACTCACCATCATCAACGTCTACTCGCCGACCTCACCAGAAGCCGAATCCGACAAGACTAAAAGGGAAGAGAAGGAAAAGGAGCTTGACGACTTCTACCGGAAGCTCGAGGAAACGATCCAACGGGAGAAGGCGTACTACATCTTCGTCCTGGATGACTTCAACGCGAAGATGGGCAAGTACGCCACTCCCTCGATTCGTCACGGGAAGCACGGACTCGGAACTCGGAACGACAATGGCGAACGCCTAGCCGATCTTCTCGACTCCAGAAGGCTCTACCACGGCAACTCTCTCTTCGAGAAGCCTGATCAGAGACGCTGGACCTGGAGATCGCCCAACGGAGACACCACCAACGAGATCGACCACATTCTGGCCAACCGGAAATGGTCTCTCCTCGACGTTGCCGTACTACCCAGTTTCGACGTTGGATCCGACCATCGACTTGTTCGCGCCAAGGTCCGTCTGAACCAGAAGTTCCTGAAGAAAGACTACCACCAGCCATCGAGACCGAGAAGACCAACCTACGACATCACCACGTTGGAGGAGAAGATCTCGGAGCACGACTGGCAGCTTCTCGACGACCCGACAGCCGACTACGAATCCCTCTGCAATGGCCTCATCAGATGTGCAGAACCTGCAGCTCGACCAACCTCGTCTCTACCGCCGCGACTCGACCAACGAGCGAAAGATCTGCTGCGAAGAAGAGGAGAAGTCAAACGAGACCCGCAGGTCACGCACCTAGAACGTCTGACGATCGACAAAGCCTGCAGAATGGCCGTGCAAGAGTCTCTCGCCAACCGACGCAGGAGTGCACTTCTTCAGACAGCTGAGAAACGTCAAAGCCTCAAGAAGAAGAAGTTCGAGCTCGTCGACGAGCGAACAGCACTGGAGGACAGCACTGAAGGACGAGAACGGCCAGCTGAAGACGTCAAAAAACGAGACTTCTACACGAAACTCTTCCGAAGCGACGTTCCCGTCCCCAGAACACCAACGCCGCCACCAGAAGATGAACCCCCGATCCTTCCCGAAGAAGTCAAGTACGCCATCAGGAAACTAAAGGTCGGAACGGCCGCAGGTCCCGACAACATCTCATCCGAACTGCTGAAGGCTGGAGGAGACTCGCTGTACCGACTACTTGCCCGGCACTTCTCCAAGTACCTGAGCGAAGCCTCTATTCCTGAACAATGGAAAACGTCCAAGACGATCCTCATTCCGAAGAAGGGCGACCTCACCGACCTGAACAACTTCAGACCGATCTCCCTCTTATCGGTCGTCTACAAGTTGTTCACCAAGGTCATCGTCAACAGACTAGAGAAGCAACTCGACAACTTCCAACCGTCTTCGCAGTCTGGCTTCCGACGCAACTACTCTTGCCTCGACCACATCCACGCCTTGACCCAGGTGGTGGAACGGCACCGGGAGCACCAGATGCCACTTGCGTTGGCCTTCGTCGACTACTACAAGGCCTTCGACAGCGTGGAGATCAACGCCGTCTTGAATGCTCTTGCTTCCGCCGGAGTCGCCACGAAGTACGTCGAGCTGATCGCCAACAGCAACGAGAGAACGTCCACGACCATCCAGCTGTTCGACAAGAAGCTTTCGATCGCCATCAGGAAAGGTGTTCGCCAGGGAGATACCATCTCCCCCAAGTTGTTCTCCACGGCACTAGAAGACGCGATGCGCCAACTTGGATGGGACGAAGAGCACGACTGGGAAGACAGTACAGACATCAGAGGCATCAACATCGACGGCAAGGTCCTCACAAACCTCCGCTTCGCCGACGACATCGTACTCTTCTCAAGCTCCACCACCGAACTGTCCTCCATGCTGAACGATCTGGACGAAGTCGGCAAGAAGATCGGCCTCAAGATGAACGTCAAGAAGACGCAGTGGATGAAGAACCGCTTCTGCGACCAAGGCAAAGTCACCCTTGAGGGCCGCGACCTTCAGGAGGTCACATCCTACATCTACCTTGGCCGGGAAGTAAACATGGTGAACGACCTGCAAGCAGAGATAGGCAGACGCAAACGCGCTGGATGGGCCGCCTTCAACTCCATCAAAGAAGTCACCAGTCAGCTGGAAGACCCGAAACTGCGAGCTCACATCTTCGAAGCGTCGATAATCCCTGCCATCTCCTACGGTACCGAAGTTTGGCCTGACACGAAGAAAAATGCAACCGCCCTACGAACTTCCTACCGCGCACTGGAACGTGCTCTCATCGGCACCACTCGCTTCGAGCAGTGGAAAAAAGAACAGAGGAGCACAGACCTCCGTCAACTATCCCAAATCCGGGATCTAGAAGAGCACATACAACGCGGTAAACATCGTTGGGGCGGCCACGTCAACCGCAGACAAGACGACCGCTGGTTCACGAGATTAACACACTGGATTCCGAGAAACATCAAGCGCCCACTCGGGCGCCCACCGACCAGATGGACAGACTACTTCCGCAAGAACATCAGTCAGCCAGGCCGCCACTGGATGACCGTCGCGCAAGACCGAGCCGCCTGGAGAACGTGTGGTCCACGCTGAGAACATCAGCGAAGATGGACCATCAAAGTATCAAAGTAAAGTAAGTAAGTATTATTGAAATCATGTGCGGAAGCGAGAGACCGCAGAGCCACGCCTCTTCTTGCGATGGTGAAATGCATTGAATAATTGGTCATTTTGTTTGTTGTTGTCGTGAAAGCGCAGTACTGGACCGACTCTAACGAAAGTTGACAAAAAGAGAGAGTGAACCTCCTTCTTTTAGAAAAACGGCTCAGCTTTTCGAAGTATTTTTCGTGGCTTTAACGGTCTTGCGCAGGTTTTATGAAGGATTATAAAAAAATTTATTAGTGAAAAACTAATAAAATAAGAAGTTTTTTTCATAGCGAAAAGTTAACGGGACCGTTTTTGATGCAGGGATCGTTAAACCAGGTGGAAGAAACAAAAAAACAATTTTTTTGAAGTGAACTTCCACGGAAAGGTTTGAGTAAAGATTTGCAAACATACAATACCGTGCAGTAAGATATACAATTTCACTTTTTTCGTCATAACTTTTGCAGGAGTTGTCCGATTTTTGTCAAACTTTCTACAGTTGTTACATACATATCCAGTATGTTACCACAAAAAAATCAGCTAAGTAGCTGATTGTTGTAGTAAGTTACAGCTTGAAACCTGGAATCAACGTAATCTCCAAAAACGAAAAAAATTTCAAAATTTTTTTTTGGTTGATTCTCGATAGGAAACAGTTATTGAACACCGTTTTATATTTCACTGAAACTTTGAGCTCATTGTACCATTGATTGGTTCACTGTAAAACTGTTACCCAGATCAAAAAAAGCTTTAAGCCCAGACGCCCTTGATTTTTAGTGATTTTTGGGTTATCGAGTCCCTCGCAAAATTTTTGATGGAGTTTTTTATTCTAAAATTCATAATTAGAGCTGTAGTGGAATTTTTAACAATATCAATTCGATCATTCGTTTTTGTGAATGAATGTAGAATACTTGTTGTACGTTTCCTTCAAGTTTAGCGCCAAGAGAAAAAAATTCTCAGAACCGCTTCAACTTAGAAAAGTCAAGTCTAGTGAAAAAGTGGAAAAAGACTTTTTTTCTAAAAAAACTTTGATTTGACTTCAAAAAAATCAAAAAAATTCGAGTACAAATGTTCTAAAAGCACATAAATTAGTAGGAAAGTCATCATACCATCAAAACTGACAAGAAGAACTAAAATGAACGGAGTCAAATGGTTGTTAAAACTTTCCCAACAGAGGGCACAATACTCAAGGTCTGCGTAACTGCATTGGTGAGATTTTTTGAGAGTGAGTAAACACATTGTAACAGTAAACTTTTTATACATTGTTTAAAAAAACGCTTGGTGAACATTCAGTTTGTGTTTCAGAGTATAAACCATAGTATTAAACTCTAAAATCCGACAGGAATACGAATAAACTCCTTCCCATCAGATCATGAGTTCAGCCTTTTCGGCTTTTGACCTCCTTTTTTTGGCTTTACTTGTTCCAAATACACTCTGATACTATTAAAAATTTCACTACAGCTCTAATTATAAATTTTAGAATAAAAAACTCCATCAAAAAAATTGCGAGGGGCTCGATAATCCAAAAATCACTAAAAATCAAGGGCGTCTGGACTTAAAGCTTTTTTTGATCTGGGTAACAGTTTTACAGTGAACCAATTATTGGTACGATGAGCTCAAAGCTTCAGTAAAATATAAAAAGGTGTTCAATAACTGTTTCCTATCGAGAATCAACCAAAAAAAAATGTTGAAATTTTTTTTTCGTTTTTGGAGATTCCGATGATTCCAGGTTTCAAGCTGTAACTTACTACAACAATTAGATATTTAGCCTCTTTTTCCGTGGTAACATACTGGATATGCATGTAACAACTGTAGAAAGTTTGACAGAAATTGGACATTTCCTGTAAAAGTTATGACGAAAAAAGTGAAATTGTATATCTTACTGCACGGTACTGTATCCTGATAAAAACAGTAAGCTACTGAAAAGTTTTCTTTTTAAAAATTGAAATCTGTGCTATTCATAGGGCTCACGGGTCTGGGGGATGGAAGCCGCACTCGCCGGACCAACAGCTTGGCGCAGCGCGTGCGCTGCGAGTTCTCTTTTTGAGGTCGCGAGTTCGATGCACGCAAGCGCCAGTTTTTTGTTTTATGGAAAGGATGCAAGGAATCACTATTTTCATTCGTTCATTTTTCGTTAATTGCTTTTTTCAAATTTTTATACGTGTTTTGATATCAAAGTTCTATAAATTTATTGTGGTTATACAAAATGGCACGAAAAAGTTTCTCTGCGATTCTGAACTTTCATCAAGGCGGTCTCAGCTACTATTTCATCTCTCAAAAACTCGACGCTTCTTTCTGCTTGCACAGCACCTTTTGCATAGAAGCGACTAACTTGACTTTTTTTTTGATATTCGACTTGAAAAACTACCGAACTTATTTTTGAGCATTTCAAATATTCTTCAAACTTCAAAAAAAAAAAGTAAAAAGGAGAATCATTCTCATCGGCTTCTCGCAATCTTTTCAAATCGTTGGTCGGTTATTTTCAATCAGACATAGTTTTCTAGTCCTAATATTTTTTCCGACTTGTAGCTGTTTTATGTAAGGAAAAAGGGTTAAAAAGAGGAATTGGGAACAGTAAGAAGCTCACAAAATCCTTAAAATGAAACAAAAATATCAAAGAAAAAAAAAGAGAAAAAAATCTACATGTAGGCAAATATTGATTGGGATGAAAGACAATGGATGATAAAATAGGCGGCAAGTTCGAGCCGCATGAACGTCGCCCCCACGCATGCCGACAGCTCGTCTTTACAACGCGCAGCACTTGCGTAGAGGCCGAAAAACATATTCTTGATTTATCTCTCGCTCTTGTTACTCTTCTTCATATTTGTAAAACCGCCACTAAGTGTCTTATTTCTTCGATTGGGATTTCAATAAACTCGGAGAAAAAACACTTTCGTAATCCCATGGAGCAAAACTGAAAAAATTTGAATTTTCGGTTGATAAGATTGAATGCAGCTTTTTAAACTAAGGAACTATTACATTTTTACATTTTCACAAAAAATTTGCGTAGCGATCATTTTGAGAAAGTTATTTATGAGACGTTCGATGGTGTCGAAAAACCAGCTATTTACGCAAGAAACGCAGAAGAAATGTCATCAACAGTTTCATTCATTTTATGCTGCCCTTTTTTTTGAACAAGTCTATAAGTCAAAATTCCATTTTCAATTTCTACCATCGTAAATCCTCCTCGGTTCATGGAAAACTAGCAATTTTTTTCGAAGCGCCTGTTCCAAATCTGAAGAAAAATTGAGATCAGACTTATTAAAATCACGACACAATACTTCTCATCCTTTTTCACCCATTTATTCTTTATCAGGAGGTTTTTTCTTCAAAATGAAAAAAAAATGTCGTGTTAACTTGAAAACTATTTCATATCATCCAATCAAGACTTCTTTTCTTAGGGTTTCTTTGTTGTGTGCTTCCAGAAATTGATCTTGTACTTGGCGATCCTGATGGGATAATCGATGGCGGCAAAAGCTCGGAGGGCTTCGTTAGATGGACAATTCTCCAGGTCGAAGTTAACAACTTCCTGAAACCTTATCTTAGTAACTGGGTTGGAAAATGTGACGTACGCCGATTGGTGTGTCGTCAAAGACGTTTATGCAGTCGTATTGGTAACCACTGCAGTCGATGGTCGCATCTTCAAAATGAAACGAATCGTGAAAAGATGTGGACAAAGAATGAAATTATGCGGACTTCTCAGAAGAAGCGGTTTTGATTAAAGGTTCCAGGTTCGGAATTGAGTCTAACTACTTCAATAAAATCTTCCAACTGGTTATATTTATGTCAGCAAAAAGCAGGAAGTTTTTAAAAGTTCTTATTTCAAAATTAACAGATCGCGAAGGTTTTGAGTACAAAAAAGTTTTTTCTATACCCGAGAAGGAAGCGAGTGATCAACTCGATCGAAAACATCTTAAGTAATTTTTCTGTGGACATTCCGAAGTTGATAAATTTTGAGAACCTGTTTCGCTATCGTAGTTGCGCTTATATGCGAAGCAGAACGGTGGATTGTCGTATCGATGACTCTTTTTCGTGATAAAAAGCATCGCCTAAAGAACAAGAAGTGAAAGAAAAATGAAATTTTAGCTCACCTCGGAAATGGAAACAATACAGACAATAATTACAAGAGAAGAGCGCATTGCAAAGACCGAGATGACATTTCGAAACGGCTTCCCGAGCATTTTATATACATTACAGCTGAGTCAACGAACAGATTCGATTCGATAAAAAATCTCCAAAATAATTGTTTTTCATTAATTCCATTCTGTGCTGCAAATCTGACTAACACGGGATTTGCACATTGGTGTCTGTGGCTTCGATCATGTTTTTGTCGAAGTGAGTCATTTTTCAAATTGAAGTAGAATCAAGAAAACTACTGACCAACGTTTTGCAAACGGCTCCCAAAAGAAAAGTTGGACAGAATCAGGGTATAGCGTTAAGGCTATTTTTTTTTTCGTTTCAAAGTTAATATCCTAGTAACTTTATATACAGGAAAGGTACAGTTTACACAACTGAATGAATCATAATCACTGTGCTTCTTGCAAAAAGTTTTTCAATTGGCAGATTTCGGTAGCTCCAATTCATTTCTCTTATGAAGCTTGAGTGGGAATCCGTGCTCCGGTCGGACAATGACTTCGGGAAGCGGCAAATTATCAAAAAAATCTATTTCAGCGCTGACCTGAAAATGAAAAAAATTTCGGAGCCTCATTCAGCACCTCTTAGTAACCTCAAAATAACGGAATATCCAGGACAGCACCGTTTTAACTTCTTGAATTGCAAACTTTTGGCCTAAAAATTAGATAAATATCTTTTTTCTTTCGGTGAATTTTCGAGTTGAATGACATTTTTCTCGGTATACTTCGAAAAAATTGTATAATACGAGTTGAATGACTTTGGTTGTTGAGTTTCACTGTACCTATGCAATTTCTTGGACCAGCGCTAAAAGGAATGTAAGCATAGGGATGTCTTTTAGAACTGTTCTCTTCACTGAACCTCTCTGGATCAAAAACGTCGACATTTTCGTGAACCTGAAGTTCGGCCGATATTCACGAGATCATTTTTTGAGTTTTTACTTTCGAGTTGCAGTGTATCATTTGTGGCGAAACTATTATAGAAGCTCCTTTGGGAATGATATGTCCATCTAAAAAAATGGGATTTGTTTTTTCAAAAGGGGAGACTTAGGTACCTAGACAAAAATCTTTTTCAACAAATCTCGCAAAGTTCGGGACTGAAGGACGTATTCGTAAAGCCTCTTTCACGCACTTTTCTAGATACCTCATACGCTTCAAATCGTCGGAAGTACATTCACGAAGAGAACCGTCTGGGAACATTCTTTCAAAAGAATAATCCGGATTTGAGCTACCGAAAAGGTCGTCAAGTTCTTTCCTAATCATCATCTGACAGTTTGGATTATGAGCCAAACACCACAGAGCCCATCCGAGAGCAGCCGCAGTAGTGTCATGTCCAGCGAACATGAAAGTGTCTACTTCCTCTCGAATATCTTCATATGAAAATAAATTCTCCTCGTTCATCTGAACTTTTCTGACTTCTTCACAATTAGATAGCCCCACCTCGAGAAGAAGATCTAGAAAAGCCCTTTTCCCGTCTGTATGGTGACCATACTTTTGGTGCTCTTCCATGCGTGCTTTGATAACCTGAAACTATTTAAAACAATAGAATGTTTTTTCCGCTCACATTGTCGGTGAACTCTCGAACTATCTTCAAGTTCTTGTTGAAATCGCTTTGAAAGCCGCTCAAATAACTGCAAACAAATTTGAAGCCATTTCTGCACACTTGCCTTATCATATTGACCTTGAGCCAAGGCATTCGCTCATGTTTGAAAGCCAAAGAGTTCATTTCACGTACAGCCAGGACATAAGGATGCGAATGATTGGTTTGTGCGCCAACAGCCCATCCCATCGTTGTTTCTAGAGCAAAAAACAATAGTTATCGATTCGATTTCGCCTCACCGCAAATAATATCAAGAGCACATCTTTTGACGTAAGGAAACACGTCAAAAAAGATGTTCCCTTCTGCCATAGGTAACAATTGCTCTAGCAATATCTGTTTGTCAAAATCCACAAATTTGAAAGATCATATGTGGAAAAACTTTAGCTTGATAGTCAAACACAGGCTGGAAGCTGCTTAAAATGTTGAAATGGAAAGAAGGCGTCAATACTTTGCGTCTATGTCTCCATTTTTCTCCTGAGTTCATATCAATAAGAAAGCATTTTCAAAATTTATAATACCGGAAGAAATCAGAAGCCCTGTTCCGAGCCATGGAATCAAAACGTTGTATTCGGGTCCTTTAGTGATAAGTTCAGAACTCTCCAGTACTATCTGAAATAGAAATAATACTTCCGAGCTGAAGATTTCTAAGACCTTGGCCAATTCAGGCCTGATAACGACAATTATTGGTCGAGAGCCAATCCATAGTCGGAGCATTCCATGCCCTTTGCTGGCGTAAAACAATCCCCAACCACGAAGTTGGATGACAAGGTCTAGAAATCACATGAATCTTCGATTATTATCATCTAAGTTTTTTTGAGTTTGGCAAAAACTTTTTTCAATTTTTTTCTTCTAAACTTCATAAAACAATAAAGCCACAGCATTTCACTATGATACCAAAATTTCAGGCTTTTTGGTAGGAAAATAAGAATTTTTATGTCTTTTTTTCTGTCAAATAAAAACGAGAAATTATTTACACTGAACGTTGAAGTAAAAATTTTTAACTTAAAAAAATTTTTTTGAATGAAACTTTGTTGAAAAATTGTTTTGGTTTTTACTTCTTTTATCGATCTTTTCTACTTTCCATTGCTCTGAACATCTGATAATGTCTTTTGCACGTGAAAAAAGATGATAAGGACCTTCAGTCAAAATAAAAGTTCAAACTGAAACTTTAATGTTTCTTATTTATTTTATTTTCGATTGATTCAGAAAAGAACGAATTGAATTGCTTCGAATACCTTTCATGTTCCATTTGAATTGCCACGCTGTTCCTAAAATTGGAATTGAGTACGGTCCGGGTATACTATCAATATATTTTATCATTCTTCTTCTTTCCTGTAAGCAGAATTTTTCCAATCCCTAAAAAGAATTAACACTAACCAAAAATCAGCGTATAAATTTGTTTCCAATACAATATAAAAAAATTGTTGCGAAAGCTATCATAACTATCGCTAGAACCATTTTTTTATTCTGAAATTAAAAAAAGAAAGATGAGAGTTTTATAAAGGAATCGAAAATGATAAGAAAAACTCGCACCAAGCTCTATATTGGTCAAAAAAGCGCGTGCTACTTTTTATATCTAGCGGTCATTATTCAGCTTTTTGTTTACTCGGCCACGTTAATTTGTTTGATAAAACTGCAGCCTTCACTCATCTTTTGCACTGGAATCGTTAAAACTGTACGAAGTTTTTTGAAAGGAACATTTGGAGAACTACTTTGTTCAGTAAAAAAAAGCGAATCAGGAATAGATCCTCGAGACATTTTCAGTTTTTTTATTGGAATTGCTTTTGTGGTTTTCATGTGGTAAAAGACGGATTACTGGCGTTATTTATTTTTGGGTCCAAGTGACAAAAAATCACACAATTTTGACACGAACTCTAATGGCAATTTGCAATGCAACATAGATAGTTTAAATCTGGGAGAGAAGAAAAACCTAAAAGTTTGACGAAGATTGAGCCAGTATTCAAAGTGCGGACAATGAGAAAACATAACAGAAATACAAGCATGCAAGGGTTGGCTTTTACATTGAAAATATGGAGAATAAAGAAAAAAAAGCAAATTATTGATATCAAAAATCAACTAAAAGCTTTTATATATAAAGCATAAAACCTGATCGGTATTTAAAAAATAGATATATGAGCTGAAGTGAACAAATCGTTCAATGACGGATTTTGAGAAAATAAACTGAGGATGGAGAATCGATTCAAACCCATAATCACGAATCCAAGAAAGAGATCAGAGAGAAAAAGTGATTCAAAAAAGGAAACCCTCATTCAAAAAAGGAAACCCTCATTCAACAAAAAAGATCTGAGGATTTATTGGGACACAATGGCAGTGATGAAGAAAGGCAAGTGGCAACAACTTAGTGATGGTATGAATAGTGGAAGTTGTTAAAAAAGTATGGGTTTGGGTAGTTATAATAAGGCATCGGGTGTGGATGGTGGAAGTGAGAAGCTTGCAAGTGAAACGAATTTGGCTGAACGTTCTCCTCCGAATGAAAAGTTGATTCCAATTCAGACATTGGAGGAGTAAAATTAGCGTATTGAGCATGAGGAGGAAATTGAGCAGGAATGAATGGAGGACTGTAGTTCATGAAACCTTGCTCGGGTGCAAAGCCAAGCTGATTTTGGACAGTTAGCGGTGCCGAAATCTCCACGATTTGCTGCGTCGGAGGACACCACTGCTTCGTCTGCGGCTCTTCCGGACTCGAATCCAGCCTGTTCTTGCCGTTGCGACGGAAGCCTTTGGCGTACTTGTTTTCCTTCACTTTCTCGTTCGTCACCTCTTGATTCTGAAACAAAAATTTGAATTTATTGACGCAGAAATAAGATTTCAAAAATAAACAATTTGAACTTTCTGATGTTTCAATCTATTAGGCCGAAAGTCAGTAACAGGAACTATAAATTCGATACTGATAAAAAGTAATGAGTAGAAAAATAACCTGATAAGCAGTGACTGCATAGAAGGAAGTAAACTCCAGCTGAAATTGGTGGATTTCGCTCACATGTTCTCCACTGAGGTCACTGAAAAAATTTACAAAATTGAAAACTGATAAAAAAAATAAATGAAGAAAGATACGAGAAAATCGAAATAACTTACAAAACGCGAGTGACCTGCAAAACTGGAATGTAACGGTGCATGCTTTGAAGAACGATCTGAAAATCACAAATAAATGATGAAAAAGGAAAAAATGAACTCACATTCATCGCGTTCGAATCGGCGACGTTGTTGGTGATCTTGACTTTGGCGAAGGAGACGATGCTCGCGGCCCAGTCCTTGCCTTTCTTGACGCCTTCTGGATGCATAACTTCTCTCTGTGGGTTTCTAGCTTCGCCGTTGCCACAAGCGCTCCATTCTCCGGATAAATACTTGTATCTGAAAAAAAAAACTTCTTGGTTTCATAAGTTCGCATTGCTAGTCTAAAGTGGAAAATTTTAGAAGAGGAGTCAAAACTTTTGATATAAATATACCTGTGGGTGTCAGCTCGGATTACCGAAAGAGACATTTTGTAGTATCCGTCATCTTCGAGGCCTTCAACTCTGTAGTCCAACTTAGGAAAGATGTTTCTGAAAAAAAATGCATTAATAAAAAAATCATTCAATTGTTTCTGAAATGGTTCAAACTCTTTTTGAACGAACACCAAGAAACGCAAAAGCTTGATACTGACCTTCCTTTTTTTGTAACAATCATTTCCGTGCCCAGTAGGTCAAGTTTTCTCCAGATTTCTTCATCAACCAATCGGGCGGTGACGGTTTCCACGGGTTGCACTATGTCCACGGGTTGCACTATTTCCAGGGGCTGCACCATATCCAGGGGCTGCACCATATCCAGGGGCTGCACCATTTCCATGGGCTGCACCATTTCCATGGGCTGCACCATTTCCATGGGCTGCACCATTTCCATGGCCTGACCTATTTCCAGGGGCTGCATCATTTCCAAGGGCTGCACCATTTCCATGGGCTGCACCCTTTCCATAGGCTGCATCATTTCCAAGGGCTGCACCATTTCCATGGGCTGCACCATTTCCATAGGCTGCACCATTTCCATATGCTGACCCATTTCCATGAGCTGCACCCTTTCCATGGGCTGCACCATTTCCATAGGCTGCACCATTTCCATAGGCTGACCCATTTCCATGAACTGCACCATTTCCATGGTTTGCGCCATTTCCATAGGCTGACCCATTTCCATGAACTGCACCATTTCCATGGTTTGCGCCAAATCCATGTGTTGCGTCGATGGCATTACAGAAAACATCACGAACTGAAGATACAACATATATTGAAGAGTTAAGGGAAAAGGAAAAAATTTCGAAAGTGAGCAACTAAAGAAAAAAGACTGTACCAAAGGTGGGAATTCATAGACCAAAGCCATCGAAAAGCTTTACAAAAATCGATTTTTTTTAAACAATACCAATAACAAACTACACTAATATGCAAAATTTTTTTGAATCCTGAATAAAAATTTACATTTTTTTGAATTTTTGGCCAAAAAAAGACGTGTCAAAGATTGTAGAAGATATGAGAAAATACCAAAAAGTTTTAACAGCGTCTTAAGTTACCTTTACAAATCTATTCTCTTTCAAATATGGTTTCTTAAGCTATTTTTTTCAAATCCAACTTCTTAGCAGCGAAAAGCAGAACAGATTGATGATTTCTAAAAAAATTAAAAAAATAACTTGATTTATCAAAGTGCTCATGATTGGAAGAATTTTGTTCAAATAATTGCGAAAAAGAGATGAAGTCTTAAAAAAGTGGTCCTCATTTTTTGAGGAAAACTTTGCCGGTAAAACAGAGTACAGAAAATATATAAAAAAAAGAAAGAAAACGGACCGAATAAAAGAAGCAACCAAGCTCGACAGCTCTTTGGAGCTCGAATGACTGAATTAGAGCTGTCTGAATGTCCTTGGACCGAGCTTACGCCCAAGTTTGACCCGCCTACTTTCCCAGAGGCCCAAGCACAGTCCGCCTACTTAATTTGCGGTCCAACTTGGAAAGGTGTTTGTAAACAATGAAAACTGTGAATCGGAGCACGCGGCGGGTTCACAGTGCATCCGGCACGATCCCGCCATTACACCTAATTGGGATATAATGTACTCGCGAAAGTGTGAAGCTGGCTCGGCCACCGGCGGCACGAGCTCCCAACTCGTGTAGATTTCCCAATTTGCACCTCGGGATACATTACACGTGCTTGTGGCAAATTTTTAAATGACTGAGCTTCAAATTTTTAAAAGAGAAGTTTGAAATATTAATCAAAGGACTTCTGCGCTTTGAGTTTGAAAATAAGAAAGACGAACGTCTAAAATCTTGTTAACAGAAAACTGGTTAAAAATTCAGCTCGGTTCTGAAAAATCTATCAAGAGGTTTTTTTTTGCGTTTTTCAAGTTCAGCAAGACCGATATTGAAAAAATTCTTTCAAAAAATTCAACTAGTTTGGCGATTAGTTTTCATTAATTGCTCGTAAAAAATGTGTTAGAAAGTAGTCAAATTTTCAAGAAGTTTGGAGATTTTTTACCAGTTTGTCTTTCCGAACGTTAAGTAGCTCAAAGCTGAAACTTAAGAAAACTCCCGAACATGATACTTCTTTTATCTCATTTATTCCAGTCCGCTTTCATGACGCGCCGCGGACTGCGAAACTGTCCACAAAAAGAATTCTATGGGGCAGTTAGTTTACCTGGGCTGTTGAAAATTTTCTTAAAAGAGGCGAGAACACTCCTTCATATATCGAAAGTCGAGTTCAAAAAATCTCAACCTGAGAAACTTCCTAGTTTTCGAGAAATAAGGGCCCGAAATTGTCTATTATAACGCAGTTGGAGAAGTCTTTCCTACTTATGAGCGCCTTTTTCAAAAACTAGAAAGTTCTGTTTTGCGGATTGAGACTTTCAAAGTATTCATCTGGTCCATCAAGGGTCAACTTTATCCGTTGTTCAATCTGTTTTCCTCCGTTTACAACTTTTTTTTTTGCATCAGTTGCCGTTCCTAGTTTTTCATCAATAAATATTTTCATGGTCGGCACAAAAGTGAATATTGGACATCACAAAAATGGAATCTGACACCGCGAAAAATACGTCAAAACTCACGAGAAAAGACTTTTGTAGACTGCTTTGTTGGCCATGATGAGACTCTCTTCAAATGTTTTTTTTTTTCCGAAAGCAAAAGCAACTAAAATTTGCCATCACTGTGCACCGTTGCAATTTTTTTCTTTTTGAGTGAACTATCGTGAGACTGATTCTTAATAAATTTCACTTCTTCTTTCGAAATCATTTTGATAAACCTTCAATGACTTTAGTGGCAAAATGAAAAATGAATTTTTTTAAGATCTTTAACTAGCCAAGCGCATCGAACTTTTCAAAATTTTTGGAAACTCTTTTTTTTCATGTATTTTTTTAGAAGTATCAAGCCGCGTCGGAGTCGAGAAGATTTCGAGGACTTTCTGCTTGACATGACGCGCAGAAAGTTTTCATTTTCGGAAAGATTATCTCCTTTCTTTCACTATTTTTTTTTTAAAATTCGGCTTTATCTAAAAAATGAAGCGATAACACGGTTACGATTACGCTATGGCCTTCTGTAAACAAAAGTTTGGGTTGCGCGCCTACCGAACTTATGTGTCCAAACATTTCTACTGATTTCGGTAAAATAATTAATTACTCCGGATTTGAAGGTTTTTATGAATATTAAATTTTTTTGAGGAAAAATTTCAAGCTCATAATTTCTGTATTTCGAGCAAACTCGCAATAAGTTTATTCATCAATGCGCTTCACGTGGCCATGGATCAAAAAAAAAGGGATTTTGCTAGTTTTTTTTTGCTTTTTTATTTGAATGAGATTGACCGCCTTTTTTTTCGCGGTCCAACTTGGAAAGGTGTTTGTAAACAATGAAAACTGTGAATCGGAGCACGCGGCGGGTTCACAGTGCATCCGGCACGATCCCGCCATTACACCTAATTGGGATATAATGTACTCGCGAAAGTGTGAAGCTGGCTCGGCCACCGGCGGCACGAGCTCCCAACTCGTGTAGATTTCCCAATTTGCACCTCGGGATACATTACACGTGCTTGTGGCAAATTTTTAAATGACTGAGCTTCAAATTTTTAAAAGAGAAGTTTGAAATATTAATCAAAGGACTTCTGCGCTTTGAGTTTGAAAATAAGAAAGACGAACGTCTAAAATCTTGTTAACAGAAAACTGGTTAAAAATTCAGCTCGGTTCTGAAAAACCTATCAAGAGGTTTTTTTTTCGCGTTTTTCAAGTTCAGAAAGACGGATATTGAAAAAAGATATTGCGCTCCACTTATGTCCTCAGATTTTTGAGAGGATCGCCAAATTTCTTTTTGTGACTGAAAAAATTCTCCAGTGTATCAAAACAAAAAATGGATATTATTTCAATTAGCTGCCAAATATCAGGTTCGAAAAACGGTTATTCTTCCACGTCCTAAGAGATCTATTCTGCCTGAATTTTCTACGTTTTTCTGAGCTAGATAATTTTTTTCGGGAAAGATTCTTTGAAGCTTTTAAGGTGACGAAATTTCATTCCTATCACTTCAAGTAAGGATTGGTGTCTATCGGCTTAAAACAGCAAATGCGCTAAAAGATAAGCAAAGAAGGTTCTTTTTCTTTTTGACTTGGAATCTTTTTCTTCAATTTTTTTCTTACCATGAAAACTTTTCTTCTGTTACTTCAGCTGGCAATCTTTAGCTTCTCAAAGGTAACTTTTTCATGATTAACTTTTTTTACTGAAACTAGTTTAGGGGTACGATACTCTAACCTGGCAATCATCGGTTAGTTTTTTTTGCTTTTTATTTTTGCAAAACAATAGTTAGAAATTTTCTACCATGTTCCATTTACTTTCGAAGAAAAAAAATGAACTCCTCTGGGTTTGATGAAAATCTTCGAAGGAAGAAAGTACAATGTGATTTTTCAGAAACTTGATCTCAAAACTCTTCACTTACACTTTTTAAATCTTCAATCTAAATATTCCTTCGGCATCTTTATCAAAGTTTCAGAAAGGATCCGTTTGTAGTCGGCCATCTCTGCGTTACCGGTACCAGCGTCATTTTTCTAGGATCGTGAGCAGCACTTGCTTACGTAATACTAGTAACGAAACTTCTAAAATAAAAAAACTTTCAGCTGGTTTTCCAAAACCAGGCTGCTTCTCGTGGCGAGTCAACAGTGTTATCCTACTCGTTAATGAAACCACTGCTGAGGAAAACTTGAACGATATTCTCCAGTTCCTCGACTCTGTTCGTTCTAACTCAATTGAGTACTGAAAAGAACTCTCTTGGACCAACAAATTGAAATGATCTAAAGCTCAAGTCTTTCAGACAACAAGCTCTTGCAATTCCAACAGCGAAATGCAGATGTTCCTTCCTTATGTGAACGACATGAAAGACGAATGCACAATTTACAAGGTCAACTTTCTGAGAACTTATCAATCAAAGTTTATTTGGGTTCAGTTTGGAACAACACCCCTGCAGAACGCTAAGAAAAATCTCAACACGGCGATGGCTTTTCCCAGTAAAAATAGAACGCCTGGCGACACTCTTTTCGACCTTCTGAATTCTGTTGTTTGAACTTTAAAACGAACAAAAAAAAACCGATATTTTAGAATGATTGCCTGAACTTGTACCCAAAAACGATAGATGCAGGAATCCTTTATGTCTTCACAGATATTTCTTGTGAAGACTTCTGCGCCAGTCGATCGTTATCCACGAGCATCCCGGAAACACTGCAAAACAGCGTTGATGCTGGCTTTGTAGTCCGCTTCGTGCTGCTGAATAAAACTACGACAGGTCAGCATTGAAGAAAATCTTTGTAAGCTCTCCGTTTGCTTTTATTCTGATTTGCTGAAACAGCTCTAATATCAAAGTTTGAAATCCAAGTTTAAAATTTTCGAACTAACCTTGTGAAGATTCTGAAATTTTGTTATTTCAAATATAATGTGTGACCTTCAAGCGGAAGCGTTTGAATCGTAAACTTTTACAACTTTGGATTTCAAGTTTACCATGTAAAAAACTTTCATTATTTCCTCCCAAATTTCAGGGTTTCTTTTTTCTATTTTAATTCCACAAGTTTCGAATAAAATTGAATCTGAAAATTGCGAAAATTTGTTGAAGGATGTTTTGGACGCATGCTCTTCCCATGTCAGTTAAACGACGACTTAACTTTCTGTGAACTGGTGTCTTCTGACAGAATCACTGCTGAATCGGACGTTTTTAAAATTTGCATTGACCGTAATCCTTCTTTTGCTTCTGCGACCCCAGATTTCCATCGAGAAGGCCATTTAAATCAAGCTGGTACGTTTTCGTTTCTTTTTTTCTTTCATCTTTTCCAAAACACTGCTTTCAAAATGGTAACCCTCTTCATTTCGATTCCAATCATCGCATGAAATGTTCAGGATTGATTCTTATCATTGTTCTTCCTTGTGTGTGTCTTACGATATGCTGCGTCGGAGCGTGTATCATTTTTTCTCAATGCGTGAAAGCCAGAATTGAACACATGCACGCGGTTCTGTCTGGAGAAATGCCAATGGAATCATTGGGAAATCAAAGAAGATTTTTCAAAAAATGGGCTGATTTCGCAAAGTCTCATAGCGTCGAGGAAGAGTGGGTTTTCATACCGTTTTGAACAAAAAAAAGTTTTTTTAAAGTTCCAATCTTCCTACTTCTTCGGCTGCTAATCAATACATGGAAATTCGAGCGATTGCAGAAGCCAACAAGTGAGAATCCCCGAATAATTTCAAAACTTTCCGAAAGTTTTCCAGGAAAGATGTTTGGGAAATTCCGCAGAATAATTTGTTGGTTCACGAAAACCATATTCTAGGCAATGGCGCTTTTGCTAACGTTTATAAAGGCACAATTATAGGTGTACCAAATTGAAAACTTTGAAGTTAATTTGGGAAATTTCAAGGTAAAGTTCCACTTTTTGTCGTCAACAACAGTCTCAATCTTGCGTTGGAACGAGAGTCTGACACTCAATATGAGGTATATCAGACTTCAACTTTTTTAAAACTCTTGTCAGCAGGCTGCAATCAAACGCCTCCCAGCCCATGCTGACGAACAGAATCACCGAGAGTTTTTCCATGAAATTGAGTTTATGAAAAAACTAGGATACCACACGCACGTCATCAGGTTCAAAATATAATTTTAAAAAAAGTTCTTTACCATTGCTTTTTAGCATGTTGGGCTGTGTTTCCAATCCATTCGAGCCGCTGATCGTTGTAGAATATTGTGAGAAAGGTGATCTGCTCAAGTTTTTAAGGCGACACAAAGATTGCTATCAGGCGGTTCGTCATGGTCAACTTTTGATTTCTAAATCTTTCTATTCAGCATAAAGATCACGACTGCCATGGGGAAGCCGAGTTTTGTCTGAGAGTGAAAGATCTAGTCTCAATAGCATGGCAGGTGACTGATGGAATGGTGAGATCTTCTTTTTTTAAACTATATACTCGAAATTTTTAGAGCTATCTTCATTCGAAAAATTTCATCCACCGAGATCTCGCCGCTAGGAACATCCTTCTCACTAGAAACATGACCGCCAAAGTTTTCTATCATTATACTATCTATAAACTTCGAAAAATCTTGCAGATCGGCGACTTTGGTCTTTGTCGTTACGCCGATTCAGCTCTATACACCACAAGAGGGGGAAGATTCCCTATCAAATGGATGGCCTTGGAGTCACTCAAACTGTACGAATTTTCATTGAAAACAGATGTGTCAGTTTTTTCCTTCAGTTTAATTATTGTTTGCATGAAATTTACAGGTGGTCTTTTGGAGTTTTCCTTTTTGAATTATTTACTATGGGAGACGTTCCCTACCCAACTATCCAACCAACTGAAATGATCGATCACTTGGAAGCTGGAAATAGATTGTCACAGCCAACAAAATGTCCCAATGAAATGTAAGAAGCATTAAAACAATTTTACCACTTTATTTAGATACGAGTTGATGAAGTTGACCTGGAGTGAATCTCCAGAAAGTCGCCCAGAATTCAATGAGGTTAAAAAATAAATTATGTTGAAAGGAACTTTTTTACAGCTTCGTAGTGAGTTCACAAACATGCTGAATCTTGAAGACGAAAGTTACGGTTACTTGTGTTTGGACGAATCTTCCCAGAAAAGCAGTTTGACCCTGCCGCAAGTATGTGTGAAAGAAGGGAGATAAACCTGAAATCTGCTCACAGGTCAGTCCAACTCTGAGCGAGCAGATCAAAGAAGACCACAAGCACTTGGAACATCATCATCATCATCACTGTCGGGAAAGATTGCCAACTATTGCGGACGACGGGGTTCTACTGAACATTTTGCTCGAAGAAGCGAAAGTCCACAAAGAGGGAGAAAACAGCACAAAAAGAATCTATGACGAAGTCAGAAATGTGCTCCATGAACATCTTGGCTCAGAAACCGCCGCCACTGTCTTTTGCGCAATTTGTCAAAGTCTTCACGAAACTAAGGTCTTGAAACACCAACACATGTGACCGTTGTTCATTGTTCAATTATTTCTTTTTGATCTCAGCTAGTTGAAAACGAATATTCCTGATTTCTGGATTTTTTTTTTTGCATATTATGATTTCCCTCTCCAACTCTATGAATAAACTTTCTTACGTTTCTTTTAGAATGTAATAAAAAAACTTGTGTTTTCTTGTTTATTTCCAAGCTTCGCACCACGACCATTTCATTCAAAATCGTGAAAACTGCATACTCAAGCATGAAAATGAAATGCTACACTAAAAACCGCTGCATGAAATTCAACTAGAAAATTTCAATACATATTCTTAACTCCCCAGATATCGCTTTTCTTTTGAAAGAGGCTGCTTTTGTTGGATCGATACAAATATCGAAAAAAAACGGAGTTTTGGAGCTTACATAGTTCGAAAACTGGAATGAATTCCCAAAATTTTTTCACATATGCAGATAAATTCAATTCGGTTCACATATACGTGTAATAACGCGTGTCACAAATAGAGTTTATCAAAGATTCATTGTGTTCGAAAGGAGGAAAATGACCTCAAGTTTTTTTTTATATATTTTCCTCGATAACATTTTTTTTATTGATTTCATGAAAAATGTTATATTCAATTTTTTTATATAAAGCTTTTTTTCCCGACTTCTCAAAAGTAGAAGAAAGCTTCAACTGTATTGAACATATGCTATTCAAGAAAAAACACTAAAAAAAGGGTTAAAAAGAAATAAATCAAGCGTTTCGATTGGGCGCGCCGTAGCGCAACAGGTTGTGTGCCTGTCTACGGTCCACAGGGTCACAAGTTCGACCCCCGCCCCGACCCAACCAAGGGGTTTAAGAAATGTTGGTAGTGGGGAGCCACGACTTCAAAATCCCCAGCCGTCACACACAAGGACGGATATGTCACTGGAGCCAGTCCACTGATATCAGGATAGGACCTCGGCTAATCGACTTGGGGCGCCGACACCGCTCAAGCGGTACAAAGGCGTAAGAAGAAGAAAATCAAGCGTTTCGATTAATGGCATTCTGGACGTTGGTTTGAAGATATCCCGTCGGCAGACGTTTTGTCAGTGATTTTAGACTTTTTTTTTTCAAAAAATTGTAGAATTTGCTATATATTAATTCATAGCTCAAAGAAAAGAGTTTTCATAGTGTTTCAAATTATGGAGCTTCAAAACCATGAAATAATGCATTTTCTCATTTTTTTCGTAAAGTTTTTTTAAATGTAAAACTATCTGACTTAAAAAAAGGATATGATGTGAAACATTTTTCTATCCTGAAATCGAGGTCCTGAAATAAACTTCGACCATCGAAAATTCATCAGGGTCTGAAAGAAGTTTTTAGCACAAAAAATCTTTTTTCGTAGGATTTATGTGAAATTTACTTTGATATTTCAAACCAGCAATGAAAGAACTATAAAATCTAATTCCTATTTTCATCGCCAAAATGTCTTTTCTCGGCACAGCAAAAATCTTGAATCGCCGAGATTCGGGGCAGCCGTGCAGCACCCGTCACAATTTTGGATAAATACGTCTTTTCGGGTCCTCCGTTGTGCGTCGCCCTTTGCAAACAGTGTTCGTTCTTGAGCACGACGTTGGCCCATCTGGAAAGGCCGGACCTTGTCGGTCACTGGAGACCTGTGTCAATTCGAAGTTTTTCTCTCTAGGATCCTGAATTTCATTCTTTATCAAATCATTAATTCATGTTTTTCATCTTCATTTTTTCTTCGGCTTTGAAACCAATTCATTAGAGGCGTTTTGAAGCTTTTTGCGTTTTCTCAAATCCAGATTAACTTCCTATCGACGCGAACTTTAATCTTACTTTTGTTTCCTTATGGTTGTAAGAAGCTTAGAAAAAGACATTCGCCAGTCTATGTTCCTTCTCAATTAGAAAGGTTTTGCCGGAACCCAGCATTTTCGATTCTAAAAAAGCAAAAATAAAGCGATCTATATCTTGCGATTAAGTATGTGGAGTTTGATAGTTTGGAAAATATTTTTAAATATGTTTCTAACGACGGATTCTTTATTAATTCAAAGTTTTTCATCTTCTGTTTTTGTTTTTCTATGCGTCTATAAGCAGAGTTATTTTGATGGATTGCTATTTCCTTTAGAAATGCGCATCAAAAATTATTTTTCATCGAGGAATGACATCATTCCGTTGTCGAAATTTTAGCTTCTCTCGAAAATCAAAGCTTTGCGTGTATTCACCAACGTCTTCTGGGCGATTTTCGCTTCGCAAGCCAGCCAGCAAGCAGAAAAACCGGTTTGGTGCGGTTCGACTACCGCCAGACCCCCATCCGTGTCCCTCTTTGCTGTCTCTGCTTTCGACGCTCCAACTTCCTTTTGATTATACTTGATGTTTTTTATGATTCGGCAATTTTGGGCAAAGGTCAATAAAAATTGCGAGAGACCGGGGGTTTCCGAATATCGCATTTTTTTCAAAAATTGAAATGTTTGAAATTTTGTTTTAGTTCTGATTTTTTTGAAAAAAACGTTCCAAAACAAATTTTTTTCATTTGTATTAAGAAAATTTTTGTCAGCAAGAATTTTTTTATTCATTTTTTTCAAACAAATTTTAACTTTGAAAAGTTTAGAAAACCAACGAATCAAAAACACAATTAACTTGAAGATCAAAAAAATATTTCAACGTCACAAAAATTCTCAAACTCAAAGTGAAATAACGTTTTTTTATCAGGCATTTTTTTCCTAAGAGACGATGACATTTCACTGCCGTTGTTCCAACAGGTCAACCAAAAAAAAAAGAAGTTTAAGGAACTTTTGGAAAGTGTAACTCCATTCCAAAAATTTTCCTATTGTGACTTTTTTTTTAGAGTTTCCGCTTTTTCCCAAAAATTTCATGTTTCCGTTTTACTGTGTAAGGGTCTTTTCAAGTCATTCTTGTCTTTTTCGATGTTTTCATTTTTTTATTCTCAAGATTTTTGAGTAATATAACTTTTATGGCATCCTACGGATGATAAGAGTTGCAGAAGTCTATCAAAAAGTAGGACAAACTTGTGAAGTATTTTTGATAAAAAATATCCTAAAAAGCTTTTCCATGCACCTGAAATTCAAACAACCCGTAAAATAAAGAAAAAAAAACTTACTTTCCCGAAATCATTTTATTGAAAAAAGTCGAACTTGCAAAAAATTGGCTAGAGACGCAGATTTTTCTCAAGAGCCTTGGGTTATACTTTTTTCAGACATCTGTTTATTGAATTCAAATAAACCAAAACAAAAACACCACTTCGTCAGTTTCCATCTATTTCGATTTTGCACTCTCTATAATTCAAGTTGACTATTCAAAATACTACTCATCCTTTTGCGAGCTGAAAAAAATTACCAAATGTTGAATAGAATATAATGAACGATTTTTTTGCGAAATATTTATATATTAAAAAAATCGGAATCGTTTGAATTTCTTTCGTCAAGTAAATCGCCGCCACTTTTGACCTAAATTCGTTAGCGATGGTGCGCATTTACTCTTGGCAGCACTGCACTCCACGTTATTTCTTTGATGTTAGGCTTTTTTTTTTGAATAGTTTCATCGTTTATCAATTTGCCAACGGCAGCTGTTCGCTTGTGTTGCCCACTGAGAGTAATGCGTTGTTCGGCTCTGTCGCCATGATTCGCTTCATAATTGTTTTAGCACTGTGCATGCTGGTATTCGGCCTCATTGTCGCAGTGCTCTTCTCCGTGGGACCCGTCCAGTCGGATTCCTTGTACGACAGCAACGATCCGATCTTGGAACTTGATACCGACACATTCAATGCCGCTGTTTATGGATCTGTGAGTGTTATTTTTTTCTCTTATATTTACTTCTTCTTGGGAAAAATTACTTTTTTCCAAAGATCCAAAGTTTTTTTAGAATTTCATGAAAGCTTTTTGTTTTTTTGAGTGAAAAAGAACCCTAAGTATTTGAAATTTCAACGTTTCAATTTTTTTCGAAAAAAATGTCGTACCGAAAACGAAGGAAAAAAACTTTTTTTCTTATTTACTTAGGGTTTGTAAAAATTTATGCATACAAAAAAATAAAAATTAAAAAAAGAAATTAAACAGTACTTGATTTGATATCATTTGAAAAAAATTCTCAATTTGAAGTGATTTAAATCTGAGTGTTGATTGCTGAAAAAAACTACTATTGTAGAAAATATTCAAAAATTTTTTTGAGAAAAAAATAATATAATGAAAAAGCTCATTGTTCTGTATAAACCACCTGTTATATTTTTTTCCTACTTAGTCAGCGGTACATAATCACTGTATCCCTTCATTATAATTTATGAATAGATTGTGCTAAAAATAAAATCCGAAAACCAACTCATTAATTTTCAGAAAAAAGCACATTTTGTCGAGTTTTATTCATCATGGTGTGGAGCTTGTATAGGATATGCTCCGACTTTCAAAAAGTTTTCGAGGTTCACAGAAACGTTCTTTCTTTCGAAGTTTCCCAATTTTTTAGAGAAATCTCAACTTGGTCGCCTTTAGTGCAAGTTACGGTTGTAAACTGTGCAGACGACAAAAATATGCCGTTGTGTCGGGAGCATTCGGTCAGCGCCTATCCTACCCTTAAGGTATCTTCTGGTTTCTTTTGGTTCGAAGGATTTCGAAGACTTGATTTTTTCAGTATTTCAAATATTTATCTGCAAATAAAGACGATGCGATGATCTATCGAGGCGACAAATACGATGTGTCAAAAATGGAACAGGACATTGCCGGATTGGTGCAGGCCGATCAACAGAAACAGATCCCAGAAACCTGGCCCATTTTCTCACACATTTCCGAGTGGGTCCCAATTTCGAGTTCATCGACCACATTTTTAACTTTCTGGTCATTTTTAGCTTTTTATAATCAGTTCTTCAATGCTTGTGGAGCTTCAAAAAGCTATAAAAAATTGCTAAAAATAATCAACGATTTAAAATACTGAAAAAGTTGCTGAAAGATCCGTAATATTCTAATAGTGTTACTAAAACCCTCTTTGAATCTTTTTCTTAAGATTAACGGTTAACAAAAATATTTAAGCTTCTTCAATATGCGTTTCTTGACCGACTAATAAATTTTTTTCTATTGTTAGCATAATCTGATTGCTTTTCCTGAAAAATCTTAACTTATACTAACTTATTTCAATATAATATATCATTTCAGCGCAACAACTTTAACGGAACTGTTTCAATCAATTGGTAGTACTCCCTACCTTTCCATCATTTCTCAGGAAAACCCAGCCACAATCGCGTGGGCGGTGAGCTTTTTTCTTTCACACATTTTCCGAATTTTTCGTTTTTAATTTTAATTTTAGAACATTATAAACTATCACGGTAGCTCAAGCGTCAGAGTCGCTTCTATCAGTCCGAAACATCCTATCGCCACACAGTTCTTTGGCTCAGAGGCTGAAAACAGAGCTCTTCTGTTCTCAACTGGTAACTCGGAGCCTTTGTGGAAAAGCTCGTGAGTTATACTTGAAAAATCCAAAAGTTTCAAGTGGTTCTCCCTTTAGAGCATTAACCAAATGGACAGACGTAGAGCAGAAGATCAACGAGACGCTTGTCGAGAATGGAACGCAACCTCAAGTCAACGCTCCTGCACAAGTTCAAGTATAAATTATATTTTTCCACAAGTGTTACTTCACCCTTTGAACCTCCACCTTTTTTGAAAAAATGCCGAAAAGCGCAAAAAAGGTTTTGTCGGCCGCATTAAATGTATCTATAAATTCACATTCGGTGAAAACTCGAAAACTTCCGTCCTTTTTCTACAGTATTGGAACATTTCAAATATTGTGGAAAACGTTTTCAGCCAACTCTTGCGGCTCCTGCAAAGGCTGATCATCGTCAATATGAAGTTCAGTTGACCGACATTCAAAGCGCCATGAGTTACATGCTTTACAAGGTTCTAAACAGAATATCTAATGTTAATATCTATGTTTTTGAGGAAATACCGAGAAGAGAAGAAATCAGCGGAGAGCCACTTGCCGCACTGAAGCAATGGATCCATACGTTGAAAAAAGTTTTTTTTTTCTCACGAAAAGAGGAACATTTGTAAAATAATCATTTCATTTTGTAGTACGCACCGGGAACTACACCCATGCGACGGCTGTTCTATCGATTGGATGAATGGCTGCAGCTGCAATCAACGGTCACATCCGATGCCTGGACTTCGAAAGTCGACGAAATACAGGTTTTCCTTTTTTACGTCCCGGTTCCATTGCAAACAAATCAGTTACAGCAGTCGTTGGGAAACCCGTTGCCCAAGGAAATTTATTGGATTTCCTGCGGAGGATCAAAACCAAACCTCCGCGGTTACACTTGTGGCCTTTGGACCCTCGCCCACACAGTTTCCGCTGAAGCCTACAAGTCGGAGAAAGACAGTCAGTTTCATTTAAGCCACATGAACAACTGTTTTCTTCAAACAGATGTCGCTTTCAAACCAGTTATCGATGTGTTGGAACCGTTCCGCGCATTCATCTTCCACTTCCTCAGCTGCTCTGAATGCGCGCAAAACTTTACGAAAGAAGCGGAAAAGCATCAGCTTCACTTGGTTACTCGTGCAGGTTTCTTATTGTTTTAATTTTGCTTTTTTTTGTTCATAGTTCATTCACATTCACTGTTTTCTTGCTGCTGTCTTAAAAAAATGGGTCTTCTGTAGCTTTTTTGCGAACAGAGCATTTAAAATTTACTTCCGTTGAAACAGGAAATAATCATTTTTTTGAGCTCAAAATTATTTGAATGGTCGGAAGTCCCGGTATATAAGAAAATAGAATGAATGCTCATTAGAAAGAAATCATCCCTGTTTGAAATTCGGAAGTTAAGCTCAAAATTGCAGAAGACGTGTACGCTTGGCTCTGGAAAGTGCACAACTTCGTGAATGCTCGGTTGTCGGGATCTCCATCCGACGATCCAGCATATCCCAAGCAGCAGTTCCCACCTAAAGTTTGATGTCTAGGAAGAAAAATCTTATTCCAATGTTCACATTCAGTCCATATGTCCAACTTGCTATGATGCTAACGGTGTGCTGGATGAAGCACAGACGTTGCCTTTTGTTTTGGATTATTACCTAAATATTAAGCAAGATACAGTGAAGGTCAGACACCACCAACGTTTTTTTTTGACAGGTTTTTTAGACACCGCCAGGTTACAAGTTCACGGAGTACAAAGACGGGAAAATGGTAGCGGCTGGTTCGCGTCATTTGAACCCCAAGTTTGCTGTTCACGCTCAAAAAGTATGTCGCTCAAAATCATTTAGCGCAAAATTTTTTTCAAAGCCAAAAAATACATCACTTTCGGCTAAGAAAAAAACCCTGGAACTTTTCAGATGGTTTAGAAAGTTTTGATTTTTTTTTTTTGTTCAGGTTGATAAATTGGAAGATGCTGAGAAGCTGCGAAAAGAACTGGATGCAAGCCCACAGAGAAATTGGAAAACGCTTAACGGCTATGGTGAGACCGCTATTTCCTCAAAATATTGATTATCCTCTCAGATAATGTCGATGGAGGAGTGGCCACCAGTCGGGCTCATCTCTACTTCATTTGGCTGACAATTATTGGTTGCGCGCTCATTTTTCGTTTATTGCAAGTATCGGCGAAACCGGTCCAAGTTCTGGAAAACATTTTACTACCACAACGACTTCAAACTGTGATTACTTTTTTTATAATTTCTAATTTCCACAGTATATTTGAAACTAAGGGTTCTAAAAAGAAAAGGCATCTCCCTCCACTTAATCAATGTTGGCCGCATTTGCATGTCATTTTGTACTTGTCACGTCCGTGTTTGGTCTATTTTAGGCGGTTCTCGCGCTAATTTGCCCCACGGCGCAGCTAGTCAATTCGTCTTCTTCGAAACAGAAATTATATTTCAATTGTGATACGAAGAGGCACAAACGTTCTGGGTTTTCATTTGCCGGTTCTTCTTTTTTTTTGTTTTATATGGTAGCGGTGCGTTTGAAGGTTGTTTCCCCTAAATTATGTGTATATGGCGGGCAAATTAATCAAAAATTCTGGATAAAAAAAGTCGAAACTCGTTTTACTTGACATTTACAAATCTTTGAAATACGTTGGTGTTTTTTTTTCCGAAAATTTCGAACATAGCGTCATTGAAAAAAACGTTTGTTTTATCAGAGGAAAGTTTCCAGAAGGAACATCAGAAAGATTTTTTTAAATGATTCCAGCTTGCTGAGCCGCAATCTCCTCAAGTCAAGCATATCTTGCACTTTTTTGATATTTCGATCATAATTTTCAATATCAGAATAAGTTCATCCTCTTGTTCTGTTTGAATCAATCACTTAGTTTTTGCATGAGCTCAAATTTGCAATTCACGTTGTTTCCCTCTTTGTAAAAATAACTTGTTTCCGCCTTTTACATGTCCGTCTCTTCAATAAATTATTTATATTCTTGTGCTTTTTTTCATAGCGAATTTAACAACTAATTTTGAAGTTTGTTTTGAGATGGAGGGAGATCAACCTTTTTTTTGAATTTAAGACTCAATCAAAAACTTGAGTTTTGATTCAAAACAAATAGCAATTCGATGTAGGAAAAAAGCTTGTCTTCAGATGTCCATGGACGTCTACGGTTACAAAAAGGAACGTCGTATAACTTCTTGGTTACAAACTGTGACGAGTTCGATCTCAAAACTCAATTCATTTCTTTCTTTTTCTTGAAGTTTTTGCGGTTTTTATTTATTTCAAAGTGCTGATGCAAAATTTACGTTTCGAAAAGTGTCGTTCAAATAAAACTGGTTGCTTGAGAAAATTGTAAACACGGGAGCAATAAAGTTGAAAAAAAGGTAATTTCAAGGAATCTCCTTCAATTCCTCTGTTAATTTGCACGGAATTTTTCTGAAAGTTGACAAGAATTGTCTTTGCTGAACCAAATGAAAATTTAAAAATTATGTAAAGGAAAAAAATGCTTGCGTGTTACGAAAAAAAGTAGAATATAGAGTCACTAAATGGCGCGGTTAGCCGACTTTTTGCTGGATTTCTCCACGTTACTTTCGAAGGGTTAGACAATTTTTTTCGGTCGTTTTTTTCTGGGTTCCAATCCAATTCATCAAGAAGATCCAAATCTTTATTCGAAGTGATTTTTCCTTGTAAAAAAATTGATACTAAAAACCAAAAGAAATTCATTTTGAAGTATTTTTGGATTCAGACACGCCTGGAGACATTAAATGCTAGTTTTCAATTACAAGCTTTTTGCACTGCTGATGTCATTCTCTTTCTTTTTTCTATGACATGTGACATGAATAAGTGCAAATTGAACGCCATCCTCTCATCATCAGTTTCCTGAAAATCCTTTTAGCGTCATCAAGAAAAAAAAACTATGGACTTTCATCTCATCAATTAAACGTTATAATTTCGCTCGTCCCGCAGTTATCTAAAAAGGGATGAAGCTTAATTGCCGAAAAATTGAACACTTTTGAGTGTTTCGATTGTAATTGAAAACTCATCGCTTGTTTTCTCTTAAGAGGACTCGTCATTTTTGACGTCCTTCAACACTTTTCTTGGCAGGTTTAGGCGCACTCTGTGAATTGTTCCCTCAAACACTTCTCTCTAGTTTTTTTCCTCTTCTGAGCCTGTTTCAAACTTTTTTTTTTGATGGGAATGTAATTTCTGTTTGACGTCAAATATAATAACATGAACAGGTTTGATAAGTGTTTGTCGCGACTTCTTTCGAGCTTAGAAACTTTTTGAATCTTGAAAAAAAAACTCTCGTGCTGATGTTAGTGATAACCAAGGATGTGAAATGAAAACATATTATTGATTTCTTGGTGTTCAAATGTGTAATATGAAGAAATGATAATTGTTTGTTTAGCTTCTTGAAAAGACTTGTGGAAGGTTTTTTTTCATTCCATTGCGACGAATTTTTGCATAAACGTTTGTATTTTGGACAATGAAGGAGAGCCCACTTATTCGAAGCCAAACTAACATGATCATCATTAAAATCTTCTTTTCGATTTTATAATCCGTTTTTTTCCCACTTGAAAATGCGAAACTTCTTTTTGCCCTTCTCGTCTCTCGGCAACGCTCTCTCATTGATGTCCTATTTTTTTTTACTGACCTCACCAGCAAAAGAAAAGAGAGCCATAGGCACTCAAAAACTGTCAAGCTGGGTCAAAGTAGGGCTGAATAAACTTTCAAATAAATTTGAATCTCTGGCAAAGCTTGTTCAGTTTTCCTGGTTTGATCGAATTACTTTGAATTCCTCGAAAAAATAAAAATAAGGTTCTTCTCTCGTCAGTTTAAAACATCTTTATTTGAAACCGCATTCATCCACTCTCATGGTGTGGAAAGTCACAAAATCCAGGCATTCGGCCACTTTCCCATATGCCACCAAAACGGTCGGAATGTTTATCATTTGTGAATGGCTCTTACCTGTTCTTCCATGCGTTTTGCTCTGACGCTCCGCCCTCTTCCCATGTGCTCAAACAGACGCCTCCTCGGGTCCTATTGTTGTTGTGAGAAAGCCACCAGAAAGCAAACGTCTAGCTATTGCTTCTTCAAATCTCGTTTCCTTTTTACATTTGTTTTCGGCGATTCACGCTTTGATTAGATCATAGTTCTCTCTAGCCCAAAAAAACGATGATTAAAAAAACTTTTTCAAACAAGAAATGTCATTTCTAAGTCGCCTTTTGATCTTGTACAGAAACTGCTCAAAACAATAACAAAACTTATTGTTTCACGTTATTTTTCAAAACAAACATTGTGCACGTAACGCATCTAGAAAACTAGTTTGCTAGTGCAAGTTCACTTTCTAAATTTAATATTCCTCGCTTCGTAACAAATTGTGTTTGCTCTACGACTGCATCCCCGTGTTTCCTCCATTTTTTTCAGTTGCAAATTGAGTAATAAAAATGATACATTTTTTCTGATTTTGTTTTAGCCAGCAGTGTAACAAGCCAAAAGACCCCTTCCATTTCTTTACGACTTTTTTTTCTCGAAATGATCCTTGTTTTTTACGGTTTTGGTAAGGAAACAAAATGCGTCAATAAAAGCGTCGAAAACATTAAGCAAAATTTCTTTTTGATTTTTGAAAAAAAAAAACGAAATTCTCTCATTGAAATTCCGAATTGAATACGATCTTGATTAGGAATATCATATACGACGACCTTTTTTGGAGAAAATGAACGATGTTGGTGCATATGATTTATGCGCAACGTATATCCTACCGCAAAGGCCAAGGCCGATCCATCCTACTCATGTCGCATATTCTCACGCTTCAGTTGCTTTTTCTCATGATATTCAGCCTCTTTTAAGTATTTCTCGAATCCAAATATCGAATTTCATTTGAGACATTTAGAAGCGTTTTTCTATAGTCCAAAGTTTTTTAGTTTCAATTATAAACTCTGATCTCTGGGTCTATCTGCGTTTAGAAAACTTTTAGAATTAATCGAAGATTCAGACTGTTACACAAGCTTAAAAAAAATAATTATTTAAAAAAATAATCTTATTATTCAAACCTTTCCGATAATCTTGATTATTTTATGTGTTAATTGAAACACGTGGAAGTGAAAAAAAGCGTGAATTTCAATAATCTTAGGTTTGCGAAGTTTTTTTGGAGGAAAATAACCTCGAGCGCATTGCGAAAGAAAGTGGTTCCTGAACCTATGCTTCCTAAAATTGTTGTCTTACAAAGATTACAAAAGGTTTTGAAAACCTTCTTTATCATGAAGTGATTTGATAGGAAGAATTCGAAGAAAAGAAAAGTTTAAAACTCCAGCAGCTGTTTCTTTTTAAATATCAGCGTGGCAGCTGAACCTTTCACCAACTTTTTAACTCAGCTTTATGTGTCCGTTGTATTTTTGATGTTTTAAAATTCGAAACACTTTAAACTCGGTTATAGATTCAAAAAAGCCAACAAAGACTGGGCGTGTTGTTCGGTTTGACGTGAGAGGGGCGTTGCGCGTTTGTATGCGGGCGGGACAACAGCCTTGGCATTGTCGGCCTGTTTTCCTCTTGGCGCAATTTCCAAAATTTCGCCCTTTGCTTGAGTCTTCTTTCCTCTTGTGTTGATTCACTTCAACGTTTCGTTCATTTGTTTTCGTGCTATTCATTCTGTTTATTAATGAATTTTCCATAATTTCAGATCAAAATGGCCATCGAAATGCAGCAAATCATTGAGCTCATCCTTGCCATCTTCTTGCCGGTTAGTACTGAAGAAACCCATGAGAAGTGAAATAAGTATAACTTCTAAGTTCTACACTTCAATTGAAATTAAAATTATTAAGTTGATGAAATAATAATAATCTTTCATTTTTTTCCAAAAAGTCATCTAGTTGGTGTATAGTCTTGAAAATCCCTTTTCAGCCTTTGGCCATCTTCATCCACGGATCAGACTGCAACATCCACGTCGCCGTGAACATCATCCTGTGCTTCTTCTTCTACGTCCCCGCCATCATCCACGCTTTGTGGTACTGCTTCTTCCGCGGTTAGACGTCTTCTGCCAAGAGAACATTCTTGTGATCCCATCTCTACACGAGCATTCACCGCTGAAATTTGCCTTTGCATTTCCTTTTATAATTTTTTCTTATAGCCCTGTTTGCGAATTTCGCCTTTTTAAACTCCGATAAAACCATGTACAACAGTTTTCTCAAACACAAAAGAGCCTAACTTTTTGTACTATTTTATGAAAATTGTATCGACGCTGAATATATGTTCGATAAAACGACGCAGGCTTCAGCTCCCCCTGCGTAAACAACGAAATCGATAATCGATGGCAGTGGAAAACGCATCAAAACAAGTTGAGAGACCGGACAATGCATCATTCGGGCGCCGCTGCGTTACACTGAGCCGCCGGCCAGAGACCGTTGGTTTCGAAGAGAATCGTTACGGTTAGCGGGAGGCTGAACAGCGGGTGCAAATAAGTATTGGAAATGCTGGTCCAAACAGTAGAGTAACGGCCTCCACAGCGGACGAAACTGGCGACGAGAGGTAAATCGAATCATTAAAACCTGAAAAGTGCGTCGATGTTGGATGCGTTTTCCAAAACAGCGTTCGTGAACGACTCAGTTTTAGTCTGGCGTGACTTATCACGCACTTGTTTTGTGCAAATTCAAAAGGCGAAGACCTTGGTTTAGCTGTGTTATTGTTTCTCAACTGATTTAAGATATGTGACGATAAAAATTTCACAAAATCAGAAGAATACTGTGCTAAAGTTAAATCGAATCATTATTTTGGGCCTGATTTTTGGATCAAGTTTTTTTTATGTTCTCGAAAAATGAAAATCCAATAATTTATTATTATATCATCAATATGGCACATGTTTTTGTCAAAAATGTACGAATATATTGAAGAGTTTGCGTCGAGAAAAGTTTACTGTCCCGGAGCGTCTGTCGAGTGCTCTTGCATCGATGAAAAGTCGATTTCCTCGTCTTTCAATGGGTCCTCCTGTAAAAAAAAAACCGTTCACGAGAGACTGAATACAGGAAAACCATGTTTGTGCTGTTTGTAGAAGAGTCGCGCATTTGGAAAGAGGTCGGATCAGAATTGGCCGCACTCGTCATTTTTCGGAATTTGGCCGCCATGTTTTTATATCTGAAAAAGTTTATTTATCTATCGAATCCTATCATATTTATCTCTTATTTCATGCTTCATAGATATTCTGGAAACATTATCGTTAGACTTCTGAAAAACCCTTAATGAATCCTTTGCTTTTAAACAGCATAAAAAATAGAAGCTATAAGCAAGAAAAGTCACTGTGTCACCCTACTGAATGAAATAGAATTATGATCGTTCGAGTCAACTCTATTTTCTTTGCAAACTGGTAGAACGCTGTGATTCAGTTTTCCTCAGGCTACTGTTTTCATTTCGACTTACTAGTCATCCTTGTTTTCAAACGTTACTCACTTGAGGCAGCAAAGATTCTGCGAACACTGTACATATCCAGGTAGACAAACACAAGGATTGCTGCAGCTGACCACAACTTCCGCGTCTGAACTTTCACCCTTGTGAGCATTGAAAACTCCATTCATTGTAAGAAAAAAGTTCAAATATTTATTAAGAAATTGAAACCAATCATGCGTGAGAGAATCAAAGGCTCAGGTAACACGATAAAAGAAGAAGTTATTCCTTTGAAAATCGACAAAAAAGTCGAGACATGCTTTTACAAAGAAGTTTTTTGAAAAATAGAACACACATCCATATAAAAATTCTCAAAAATAATTTTGTTAAAGCTTCTCATTAGGGTATAAAAGATAACTCGTACATCATGCCAGGATACTGTCGATTGCAAGCTATGAATCAGGACATGTTGGGCACTTGAAAACCAAAAAAACTTCACAAAGGGACACAATTCGTCGTTGTGGGGAAAAAATTGGAGAAGAAAGGTCGCATTCTGAATCACCCACGTTGCTGAACACAAGTAGGCTGGCACGAGGGCATACACGCCGCCGCGCAGGCGATTCCGGGGACCGGAGCCATCGATGGATAGGCGGCCAGGCAGTTCGGACTACAGGCTGGCATGCACTGCGCCGCGCAAGACAACTGAAAAAGAACGGATTTTCAATGCCGATTTCCCCAGATTGCCTCAGAAGCTCAGAGCCTCAGATTTCAGACTTTTATTCACTGTGAAATCTGGATTTTTTTTTCAACCAAAAAAAGACAATAGAAGTTACAAGATTTTTTTTTAGGAGAATCTAATTTTTCTCTGATTTTTTTAGGTGAAAATCCTGAAACTCAGGCTCAAACATAAAACTCATACGACATCTTTGATTACTTTCGGTGTTTTGATTCCTATGGAAATACCTTAGCGATGCAGGAATTTTCACAAGTAGGCATACATTCAGGAGCGCAAGGCATCGGAGCCATTTGGACGGCGTATCTGAAGTTTTTATGCGAATTGGAAGACTCGATTTGACGAATTTTGATTCAAATTAACAAACTGCTGAGCGCAGGATGGAGAGCAGCCTGGAAGACATTGCTGCGGACAGACGGACTGGAGACAGCTTGGAGTGCAGGATGGCATGCAGGAAGCGACGCAAGTTGATGGAGCTCGAACAACCTGGGAAAAACAAGGAGTTGGACAAGGAATTTCATTTGGTTTATTGGGTTTTTCTCTTCAGTCGCAAACCAGATGCATGAAAATTCACGGTTCAGGGTAATGAGACAAAATTTTTACAGGCGAGCTTCAAAAATCTTCACAAAACAGTTTGTTTAAAAACATTCTAATCATTCCTAATAGACGTTTTCGCTTGTGCTTTAATGCCCTAAGTTTATTTTCTTTCGATTACAAAAGCTTACAGAAAAAAAAATGAACCTCAAACTTGTGACGGTGACAGTAGCCTTGCAAATTTGGATCCATCTTAATAACCATAAAACTAACACGTAAAAGATGTAAGTTTGAAAGGTTAATCTCAACGCACGGAATATGATTGGGACTTCAGAATTCAGAACTGACTGTCGCGACTTTGAAAAATTCCCTTGAAGCTTTCTGGCAGTTGCTATATTCGTCTTTTTGGTCTTTACTAGACATCTGAACAACCGTTTTTGAGAAAAGTTGAATTATCACAGTTTCCCGACATTAATTTTTGTCGCATATCCACAGACCACGAACTTTTATGCATAAGGCTTCTGGTTATTTTTTGGATTAGTGAGGTCGCACGGCAAGCCGTACCTTGCAAATTGTTTGATTCTTGCCTACACTGATGCATTTACTTTCTTGAATGTGCCTCAGTCTGTCAAGATGGCATTCTTCTTTTTTACAGTACTGAAAGCACGAAGCGTTCAATTTTCAAACGCGATTCATAAAGGTGTTTTGGATCACCTGTGTGACGCAGGCATTGGTGCACATCGGACGGCAATGTTGTGGGCAAGTGGCGATTTGCTGGACACAACTTGCGGAGCAAGAAGGCATACAAGCTGAGTCGCAGGTTGATCTCACAGGAGTCTGTCAATTTATTTCTGTACATTTGAAATAATCTATCTGAACAGACAATTTCAAAAATCACGGTTTTCGAACGGAATTACGATTAGTAATCCAAAAATACATATTTCAGTTTTATACTCACCGTGACGGTAACTTGCTGAATACACGATGGAAGACATCTTGGCATACAAGCGTTGATACAAGAAGCTTGTCTGGAATTAACGAACGAGTCGGTAGCTAATCTTAGAAAGTTCGAAATACTGACGTGCAGATTGAGGGACAATTGTTAGTGCAGGTACTGCAGGTGACGGCTTGAATGCAGGATGGATTACAGCTAGGCATGCAGACCTGCTGACATTGTTGCTCAATAACCATTGGCCTGACATTGACCTAAATAACTGCTTTCTATTTTTTAAATTTTTTTAACGACCTCATATCCTTGGACACAAGCGGACTGACAGTTCGGCATGCAAGCTTGGACGCATGTTGGTTTTACAGAGACCTAAGTTTCAATTGTAGAGTTATCAGAAAAATGTTCTTACCTGAAGAGCTTGAATGCATTGAGGAGCGCAAATGGGTTGACACTGTTGCGGACATCCAGGGTTGACAGCCTGAAAAAGTTTTTTTTTTAAACAAATGGCGGAAAATACCTGAACACAGGTTGACTGGCATGATGGCATACATTGTGGGGCGCAGGTTGGGGTCACCTGTAATTATGACTTTTTTACAATAAGGTTTTGATTCGCTTTTCTTCAAAAAAAATGCTTGGTCGAGCTAAGCTCCAGAGTATCCCAAGAAATAAAGGAGAAACATTACTCATCGCTCAATTTTTTTTCTGTTTAGGTAGTTCACACTACAGTTTTCTCCTTCTTTATCAACTTACTTGAATGGCATTGACGCAAGCTGGAAGACACAACGGCATACACTGTTGGGCGCACATAGCCGGTGCAATCTTCAATTTATTTAGCTTTAAAATTTATGAAATTTTAGCAAACCCCCTGGACGCAGCTAGATTCGCAAGCCGGCATGCATTGCGGTGCACAGGTGGGTAGTGGTGCCTGTGAAGGTAATCATAGCTAGTTAACCACTACCAGAAAAGTCATTTTGAAAAAAGTTATGTTTTATCCTTCTTCGGCAAACATCTGATTATCACAAATTGATGGAGTTGTCGAAGGTTTAAGGTTAATAAGATTCAACAAAAATAGGTGTCAAAATGTAGAAAAGCTCTGTGTCTTACCGAGTTCACTAGATTGATGCAAGCTGTTTCACATGATGGCATACATTGCTGCACGCAAGTTGTAGTCTGGAAAGTGCATGTGCTGGTGAGAAAGATTATAGAAAACAAGCCGAATAACTTTTCATCATTTACAAAAAAACTGCTTTTATTCTGTCATTGATAGCTTCTGGAAAATGCGGTAAAAACTTTGATATAAGTCTGATAGAGCCAAACAGTAAAACTTCTAATTAAAAGATGAAAATGTCAAAATTCGAGATTATTTCAATCGAAATCTTCAGATGATTTCCGACTCCAAAAATTTTTTTTGAAAAATGTTTCTGGCGAGAATTGCCTTCAAATAGTACGGTTTTCTGTGCCGAAAGTTTTTTCGTTTAAAAATTTTCACAAAAGTTCTGAAAGCTTTATAAACCAAAACATTCAGATTACGGAGCCAGGTTATCAAAAATTATTTTGGTTGATCTTCAGAATTTCGCCAACCACAGAATCAGCATTAATACCATTGTTTGAAAGATACCTACCTGTACTTTGATTCCCATAACACAGGATTGGGTGCACATCGGTTGGCATTCATCAGGACAAGTGAGGACCTGCATTTTTTTTAATATTCAAGAAGTCAGCGCGCTTTTTTTCCAAAATGTTGTTGAATTATATCTTCTGATGAGAAATCTTTAAAGGAGTATAAACAAAAAAGTGCTTTTTGAGAGCAAGGAAAAAGCTAAGCTTGAACGTCTATTTCTGGTGGGAGTCAAGCGGAAGTGTGTGGTAAGATAACATTACCGGAACAGGACATCCGCCGCAGCCACAATTGCCCATGGGGCACATTGCGCAGCATTGTCTTTTCGAGCGTATCCGAGCTATTCTGGAGCTGTTGCTTATTCCCAGAGCTGATAAGCTGTCCGAATGCTTCGTCGACAGAAAACTTCTAGCAGCGACGGGCTGTAACCAAATATCTGAACTGATTGAAAAAAGAAGCTAAAGTCTCATTGCTCAAAAAAAAGATCCAACATTCAGAAAAATCAGCTAGAGTTTGAGAGAACATGAAGCAGACTTACCTCACTAGCGCCAACAAGTTGAGAAATCAGAAAAACTGTAGCGATAGTACGAAGCATTGCAATATGATCTAGGAAAATGCCGTCGGTGTGAAAGCCGACAAAAATCAAAAATATGAAACAGACGGCTTGATCAAAGCAAGAGCAAAAGTGAGAATGAGCCCGAACCTGCGGGAATATCTGGATGCGATGTGGACGGTTCTCCGCTATTTGTACCCATATATTTACAGAGATTGACACTCCCATTGTGGCCACTTTTGAGGAGAAACGCGAATCAAACAACAATAAGCGGGGCAGAAATTGGCGCCGCTCGCCGATTTGGAGTCCGGCTGCTGGACGCGGAACCGGCAAGCTCACCAATAATATCGATAAAAAGTGCATGAATTGACCGGAATCATGGAAGCCAATCAGAAATCGGGACTATCCACTAAAAGCCCAAAAATCTTTCTTCGTCATATCGTGTCTAGCTGGCTCATTGAATTTTTGACATTCGCTGTTTTTCTTGTTGAAATTCTCTTTTTGAAAACTGATTAGGTTGATTTCGAGAGAATCATCTGTTTGAAACAAAAGTTTTGAGTACACCGTAATTCCAAAATATTCAATCAAACTGGATGAAACAAAGTTTTTCAAAGTTTTTAAATTTTTTTAATCCAGTCGCTCCGTTGCAAAATAAGTTCACCTGATTTCTTCTATAAAATGGGAATTTTTGAGAGCCTCGCCATAACAACTTTTTCTTAGGTTTGTTTTTAGGAGTTTCATGCAATTTCAAGGAAAAATTTTTAATTAAAGCCGCGAAAAACCTTTTTCTGCCATTTTTTTCTTCACGCAAAGCTTTTTTTATTGCGAAGGTCTTTTTTTCTTTCAAAAATGTTTTTTTGCTTCAATACAAAAAAATATTAAAAAAATTTATTCGAGAACATCATTTCAATAAATTAATAGTTATAAATTGCTGAAATTATCAAAAAAATAAGTGAGCCTTAAAGCCGGGACGTTTCTTCGGATAATGGTTTCTCTCTTTTTCCTGCCGTACATTCCTCCGAATCCACCACAGCCACCACCCATGTATCCGCCGCCACCGATGTAACCGCCACCTCCAATGAATCCCCCTCCTCCGCAACCACTGAAAATTTAGTAAATTATCTTTAAATCTTCTTTTTTTCTTCCGCTTCAAAAAACTCACCCTCTCATGCACATCGGAACGCAGACTGGCATGCAACAGCTACAACAAGACGACATCATCGGCATGGGCACGGGCTAAATAAATACAGTCATAGAAGCGGCAACGAAAGTTCAAATACCACAGGCATCGGCACGTGAATTGGAACCTGAACCGGAACAGGAGCTGGTACGGGAACCGGCGCCGGTACAGGTACTGGGACTGGAGCTGGTACTGGCATCGGCATTGGCATCTGACAGCACTGTTGAATGCAGCATCCGAAGCCTCCCCATTGGCGCTTCGCTCGAATGTGTCCCACGTCGGAGACTCTGGTCAACGCCGTCGAGTTTGCCAACAAGATCTGCAAACGAAAGGTAAAAAAATTTTGCTTGATGCGGAGAACATGTATAATTTAAGTTCAAGACTTTACTTCTCAGAACTGAGTGAATGAAGGAGCTGAAAGCTGAAAATTCGAAACAGGTCAAGGTAGCTCAGACCCCCATAAAACATCAGTTTTCTTTCCCCTTCATGTTTCTCACTTAACAAAATATATGTATGCATTGATGGAAATATTGATGCAAATATTGAATCTTCCGCAGCATTATCTCCACAAAAATCCTAATTTTTTGTTTTTGGAAGTATCAAACGCCTTGTCGGTAAGAAACCTCAAACGGTACCAAATTCATTAGATTCGCTAAGTAATAAAAATTAAATTTTTTTTGTGATTCATTTTTAAGGTGATCTTCGTACGGAGAAACGAATGATAAAAAATCTGCAAAATAAGACAACATCCTTTAAAAATCGTGACTTCGAAGACTTCACGTAAGCAGTCATTCAAAATACGTGAGAGCTATTCTTTATGTCCGGTTCCAGAGTACGCAGGAGCATACAAAATCATAGAAATCGACAATGTCGAGTGGCACTCAGCAAAACACAACACGCGTGCCGTTCGACTGGTTGCTCGGGCCGCCAACTATACTCTCAGGCAACAAAAATCATCTTCAATGAGTTCCCCGACGTTTACGTGTCCAGAATTTCTAAAAAATTTTTGCTGTTTTCAGATTTGTCTGCAGTTTTGCAGGCATGTTTCTGGGAGCTTTTATAACGTTCAATGAAAAAAAGAGTACCTAGAGCTTCTGGGGTTTCCAAAAAAACTCAAAAATGTAGAAGTTTGGTAATAAATCAAAAAAAGGAAACATCTGAGAAAGGTACAAAAATACAAGCCGTTCAGAAAGTTCGATACACATGAAACAAAAAATAGAAAAGTAGTGACAGGACAGGGCTTCTAGATATTTTCTTAGCAGAACGCCATTTAACTCTCCGATGTTCGAAATAAATGTATTGAACTACTCTTTGCACATTTCATTCTTCTTTGCAAAAAAAAAATCCTAAAACTGGCATATCAAAACTGCAAAACGAACCTTTTGTTCTCGATAAACTTCCAAGCTCTTATCACATCTAATATTTTCAAAAAATATAAATGTTCGAATCGACAAACCTCGGCATGACAATAATTAAGATATGTGAGAAGAAGAAAAGCTGTTGAGAAGAAAGCGCCGTGCGACATACCGTATCGTGAAATCCGTGTTTTGCTCCTTTTAATACTAGCCGCTGGCTATTTGGGTCACTCGGATATTTGCACTTGAGGACAACTGGTAAGGCCGGTGTTTCCAGTTTGTTAGGAAATGAACAAAACGATGATTCAACTCAATTTGGAACTTCTCCGGAAAATCTTGTTTGAACTCTCAGTTCGAATTTTGTGAGTTTCGCAACAATGAAAGCTTTAAGCATGATTTTTATTATTGTGCTACAAAAAAGGATGTAATGATACAAGGTGGCAAGAAAAACTACCTGCATGTTTCGAACCTGATGTCGCATTATATAATTGAAGAAAATGATTTTTCGCGTTCATATACGTTGTTTAGCTGATTTTAAATGCAAAAATGGGTGATAATTGACAGATTTTGCGTTTTCCAATAGTCTCCGCGCGGTTCTTTACTTTTCATAAAGAAAAAGTATATAAGTCGCTTAAAAAATTATTGCCCACTTTAATAATTGTGAAATATGCGTAGATTATATTTTTTTGTTATTTTAAAACCCCTTGCATATGTTCTTAGACCATCGATTTCACCAGTTTTCAAATTGAAAAAAAACTTCTTCCAGCTCGTAACTTTTGGGCTACGATGAAAAATAGAGGTGAATTAAATTCTCAAATCTCCTTTTTTCTCACATCTTCGAACCGTAGAAATTTTGGCAGATGGTCTCCGGATTTCTAAATATTTATTCACCACACTTTTTAGCCCAAAAACCGTTTGCAAACAATCGGCGACTGTCCTGCAGTGAAGTCTCTTTGAAAATGACCGCGGGCACGGATGGCTTTTGGACCACCCAGGTTGTTTACCCTCCAATCTGCACCCAAAACACTAATCTCCAAGTGAATTCCAGAAGATCAGAAAAACTTTTATTCAAAGAACGAAACTGTAACGGTGATGTAGAAAATCCAGAACAAGAAACTGGACCAATTTGAAATTAGATAACCTTCACATCGATACTTACGTTAAAAATATTTTGAAGAAACCGGGGTTTTTCAAGCAGCGCGTTGCCATTCAGCACAGTTTTCAATAAATTTTTATTCAAAAAAAACTTGTTTAGTGGAGTAAAAAGGATGTTCAGAAAAAATTTGGTAATGATATGGCTGTAGAAACGGTAGAAGTACAGACACTGAAATAGTAAAAGTGCAATTTCTGTCAAAACTCAACCTGAATTAACGTTTTTTAAGAAAGAAGAAAATTTCGGATATTTTATCGCACCTTCCAAAAATAAAAAAGGTCTACAATTAATTAGACAGCTGGTTACAATATTTCCGATCAAGAGGAGAAATTGCTAATAATCTCCCGTAAAAACAGGATGGAATGGAGTTTGTTCTAATTAGAAGCTGAAAAAACACCAATACAGAGACTCCACTGAATTCGCGAAGACATAAAAAAGAGGTAGCGGCAAGCTTTTTCAAGACGGTAAACTCGGAAACGAACGCCTTCTCAAGTGCGCTTGAAATGTCCCGATGGTATGTCTGGAAAGCCGCTTCCGGTTCGTGAGCACTCTTTAATCCGATTCCAGCACACATTTAAGTCATTTTTCACTCTACATTCTTGCAAACACTGCGCATCCAGATGTAAGCAAGCACGCAGAAAGACTTTTGGGTGCACGTTTTCTTTGGACCGGCCGAGGCACTCGCTTTAATTATTGTTGCCGGAGAAGATTAAGATAGTTTGTTTGCTTCTGAGTTCACACATGGAGCACGCGTGCAAAGCTGTGAGTAAGCGAATTGCGCGATCAGAATCTGCAAAAAAAAAGTGAACCAGTCTTTTTCGTAATGGATGTGAGATCGTTGAAATACTTTTATTCCCTATATTGGTTTCCTGAAAAATAGCTGACATTAATTGGAAAAAAAGATTCGGAAAGAATAGCATGAAGCACACATGAAGTGGACATTACAAAATTATTTTGAGAAAACTTCGAAGCATAATTTCCAGTTTTAAATTATCAAAAAAATTCGAATATGTTTGGTTGGACTGATTCCTGCTGGAGTCGTGTGAAATCGTTCTTGTTGAGAAAAGCATAACATGTGAAAATTGTTTCAAAAAAAAAAGGTTGAAACGAACTGTCTACAACGAGAAGAATGTTTAAAGTCGCTGAAGTTATTCGTCAAGCAAATTTTATATTTATTATTGTCGAGGCGAAAAATGGTTGGAAAAATTGAAAAATCCTACATGGAAAGATGGAAAGTTTCTCAACAAAAACTGGCTTTTTCATATTTTTTCATTTGGATGAAGAGATTCCTGAACGCAGAAATTTCACGTTCTGAGATGTGAAAAAAATACAAGATTCCAAACTTTCAAAAAAAAAAAAATTTGATAAACAACCCATTTTAATGGAAGATTTTATATTAATAATACGGGCTAAATAAAGGGAAAAAGTCGTTGGAATATTTATGTGAAACATTTTTATAATTAAACTTCCTTCTCACGTTTTCCAAGTTCTTTTGATTAATATTTTCTGTTTCGGTTATTCGAGTTCTGAGATGTAAAAAGGACAATTTTACTGAATGATTATTTAACTTGAAGTGTTCTGGATTCTGATAAGCAAGAGTGAGTGAGTGATTTCTAATCGAAGAAAAGGTAGGGGGTTGTTAGGAGTCTACCTGAGGGGAAGGGCCGACTATCCGGTTGCGGTTACGCGGCATTCCGCAAGAGTATAAATGCTCACGAGGCGGTGCCATCCGCATCCTTTGCAGTATGTTCCGCTTGGCTCTTCCTCTTCTTGTCCTCGTCGCCATTGTGAGTTTTCTTTCTCATTATTATCCCAATTCTCCTTTTTCTTGTTTCAATCTATTTTTGTTGATCATACCGTGGAAATTTTTCTAAAGTTGAATATTGTACACGAATTCGAAATCATTAGGCCAAATGCACAAATTAGAAAGTTAAAACTGTGGTATTCTAAGCACGCAGGTTTTAAATTCTTGAACTCTAAAAGGCATCAAGATTTTTAGCTTCATCGTTAGAACTTTAAAAAAATATTGTCTCAAAAGTTCGATCATAAACTTAAATTTCTGATTTTACAACTTTTTTTTTTTTTCTCCGTTTTTCCTTGTGAAAAATTTTTAAAAGCTTATAGCCTGATTTTTCATGAATTATTTGGTGTGCTGTTTTTTTGCAAGAAAAAGTTTGTATTTTTTTCGTGTTTTTTTAATCGTAAATCTGCTTTTGAGCTGAATTTCTCCCCCCATTCTTTTTGTTTTTCAAAATTAAAGACCTGTAACCTTTTAAAGGCGTTCTCGGCTCCTACTGGAGATCGTGAAAAGCGACAAGCTTGTTGCCCTCAACAACAGCCATCGTGTTGTCAGCAGCAGCAGCCTGCTTGCCAATGTCAACAAGGTGAGCTCGTAGAACTCCATAAACGTGAATTTGATGAATTTTTACTTTTCTCAGCTCCGGAACCGGTCTCATGCTGTCAAACCACGGTTGTCAACGTGCAGATCCAACAACAAGCCCCACAACAAGCTCCTTGTGAATGCCAGGTAATTACGTCAAACTTATGTTCTAAAAAATGTTGATACCTGCATCTATAATACCTACAAACTGGCAGACAAAAAAACTCCAGAAACGTCAATTTAAACTTAAAAAAATTATACTTATAGAATTTTTTTATCCGAGTCGTCATTATATTGTTTAAAATGAAAGTTGTTTTGACACTCCGTTCACTCCTGATTTCAAAATAACATCATAGAGACGTTCGAAACTTTACAGTTTCAGTTTCCACTGCGCTTTTGAGAACTGTCATCTCAAGCCGGATAAAATTTGATCCTTCCCAGAAATGAAGTTTTCTTTCGCTTACTTTATCATTTTTTGATTTCTAAGCTTGCTAGACGAAGTAATACTTGAAAATTTGTGAATCAAAATGCAATCAAATGAAATTTTTTCAGCAGCAACCGTCTTGCGACTGCCAACAGCAGAGTCCGTGCGCTTGCCAGGTAAACATTTCCTAAGGGCATACAATCAAGCATTCGAACTCAGGCTCAGCAGCCGGCATGTGATTGTCAGCCGCAGCGAACTCCCTGCTGCCAACAGCAACAGCAGGTTTTTTTTTCGTAGAATTTTTTTCATTTGAACATCTCAGCTTCAGTTCGTAACTTTAAGCCCCAACATATGAAACTTGTGGGAAAATTTATGAAAAAATTTGTTGAATGTATGAAAACAGATATGTTTCCTAATGGTTGATAAAAATCTTTTCCAGCCTGCTTGCGATTGCCAGCCTCAACAGACTTCTTGCTGTCAGCAGCAACAACAGGTTATTTTTTTATTTCCACTTTTTTTTTCAATCATGCTGAGGTTGAAGAATCTTAATTCAAAACTAAGTTTCGATTAGGCTCAAAATTTTGGGAGCACAACAGCGGGTTAAAAACTGAAAAATAATTCAAGTTATTATTAAGCCAAGGACTTATTATTGAATCTCTTCTGATTCATGCTCTTTTATAAAACAAAGCAATTGATTTTCAGCCTGCTTGCGATTGCCAGCAGAACCCCACTTGTGTGACGTGCATCCAGATCGAAATTGTCCAGCAGGTAAAATTTAGAGTGAAAATTTTGAGAGTAAAATTCGAAAATAATTCGCAGCAGCCAGCCTGCGATTGTCAGCAGCCCCAACAAGTTCCTTGCTGCCAGCAAGCTCAGGTAACTCTCGTAAAGGTGAAAATGATTAGATACGATTTCCAGCCTGCTTGTGACTGTCCACCAGCCCAGGCTCCGTCATGCTGCCAACAGCAAGCTCCTGCCTGCGATTGTCAAGGTAAATTATTACCTAATCATCTTTTTTCAATCTCTTTTTTCAGTTCAACAAGCTCCAGTTCAACTAAACTGCTGCCAACAAGCCCAGGTAGCTCATTAATGCTTTGAGTTTTTGAGAAAAAAAATTAAGCCTTCGTGCGATTGCCAGCAACCTCAACAAGCTCCTTGCTGCCAACAAGCTGAGGTACCATAGAAATTTTGGAAATTCACCCAACTTTCCATTAAGCCATCTTGCGCCTGTGAGCAGCCTCAACAAGCTCCTTGCTGTCAACAAGCTCAGGTTGGCTCAAACTTCTGAAAACGAGAAAGCAAAGACATTTTCAGCCATCATGCGACTGCCAGCCAGCTCAACAGCCTTCTTGTTGCCAGCAGGCTCAGGTACGCCTCAAAATACCGATTTAACATTAATTTGTCTGTTTTAAGCCATCATGTGATTGTGCTCAGGCGGCCGCTCCAGTTTATCAGATTCAAGCTCAGGTAGGGAAGAAGAAAATTTTCTGGACTTATTGGATGATTATAGCAAACTATGCAATGCGCTCCAGCTTGCCAGCCAGCCTGCCAGTCGTCTTGCACTGCCTCGTACAATAACCAGAACCAGATGACTCAGTACAGGTAGTTTCTGTGGCCTTTATCTCATTTCAAATAGAAGTTTAGCACTGCCACGACCTCGTGCGACGCGCAACAGTGCGTTTGCCAGCGTGGCTACGTCAAGTGCGCCGAACAGACCTGCTGCCTCCGCTACCGTTACACACACCGTAAAGCTAAACGATCGATCGCCTAAACGAAACCTCTTTACCACCGGTTTGATATTTGTACATTTCGCAAATTCAATAAATTTTTTTCGGATTTTTAAAATTGTGCAGGTATCTGAGAACGCGCAATCGCAGTTCACTCACTTTAGAGCTTGAAAAAAATAATCAAAAAAATGTAATACGAATCACACGTTTCAAAATAAGTAAAAACGGCTTCAGAAACTGTAAATGTTTAAATCAAATTCTACGAGAAGGGGCTAACTAAAAATTTGAAAAATACTGAAGAAGAGTATCATAAAAAAGATGTTATAACCACTTTTTTTCTGTTCTGCTTTGATGCAGATAAATAAAGTTCCAAAATTTTTTCGAAAGAATTTTGATAATTTCTAACCCTCATTTGACGTTAACTCAGTTCATTTTTTATTCTTTCTTGTCCATGTTCCTTCTCCCGTAAATATTTCTCAAATTATTTGTCTGCTGACGATTTGCGTGAGATTCGTGTGAGAATCATCTTTGCTTGACGCGGCTAATTTGATTTTCGCACTCAAATTTTGAAAATAAATTCTCTTACACGCAAAACCTTTATGATTACCAAACAAGAATAAATGAAAAGAAACCAAAAAAAGCTATTATCCTAAGACACCAAAATAAGTGAGATCATCAAGAAAAAAATGGTTAAAAATGCGAAAAAAAAAAACGACGCTTAACATTCTAATAAATACTTTGACACTCACATTGATTCACACAAAGAATATTGATCTTTTTGTGTGCTATACAGTCCGAAGGAAGTTTAGATGAGCTCTAGGTAAGTAATTGGAATTCTACCACGAACTCCATTTTTCTCAGCCATCACATATTCAGGGTCCATTCCAGGCAGTCGGTAAACGATCAAAATCTGTAAGAATTGTCAGGTAATTGGTTTTTTAAAAGTGATAGTGATTCTCACATCATTTTGCTTCACTGAAATTTCGTTCGGCATTATTGCGTCGTAGTCCAAGACAGCTCTAGCTTGTTTTGTACCCATATCATCGTCAGAAAAACCTACGCCTCCGCTGGGCTGTAAGATAGTAGCATGCTTAATAAAGTGGTTAATGTTCTTGATTTCTCAATTCATCACAAGTCAAAACAGCCTGACACCTGCGCTGAACTTTTTTTATTTGAAATTATGATCAAATTCAACGACTGCATCCCTGCAAAAAAGGACGCAGACAAGACAGGCTTTTGCGAATCAATTGAATATACAGTTTTGAAGAGCTCTTTAAAAACAGTTTTATAACTTCTTAAAACTTTTTTTTCGAAAGAGAATCATAATTTTCAAAGAGCACAATAAACGCTATTGACAACCTTGATAAGCGGAGGCGAAGGACGACCGTTGGGAATAGGGTTCGACGATACAAGTGTTGCCGAACTTCCTCGAAATGATACTGTCCTAAAAACACTGCGCACTCAATGGAAATCGCCCAAGTTCTATGAAATTTGTTGTCTGTTTCTTTTTCTCATTTCAAATCGAAATTCATGAATCACAGTTTATTATATAGTAATTGAAACGTAAAAATACACTTCTCAGACTAGGGAACTCAACACAGTTTCGAATTTCATTGAGGGTACATAAACGCGTGAAAAATAATCTCTATGAATGGATTTACAGAAGTTTTTCTGAATTTTTTCAGAAAAGCGTTTCTAAGAAACTTATTTCAAATTACGTTAAAAGCGGGACACAACGCACACAAATACTAACAATGGCCAAAAATTTCAGCACCAATAATGACAAATAATGCCTCAAAATCGATTATCATACAATAAATCGCAATAGAAATCTATCGTTAGAGGATTCTGTTTTTATACAATCTATGGTATCACAAAAATACGGAAAAATGCGTGGAAGACCAGCCACACACAACAAATGAACATTTGACACCGTGCGCAAAATAAATATTTGGTGATAATATGTGCAAAATATAAGGTAAAGAATGTCGAATGAATAAAAGCAGAAGTAGGTCATGCAGGTATAAAATGAACTATTTGGAAGCAATACTATGGTTGATAGCCAAAAATGCGCTATTGAACTCGAGAAAAACTCTAAAACTGAGATTGGATTTTTAAACTAAAGAGAAACCGCTGTAAACAATAAGCTTGCGATTTTGATCAAATTTTGAGAAATAACTGATTTTTAAAAATTGGAGCGGTTTCTTTTTTTCTTGTCACCAAAAAATGAAAGTTTTTTGAAGGAAACGCCGATCTGATTAGACGCCATCTTCGCCAGGACGTCCATGCACCGGATTCGCAAACGAGATGCCGGTGTCGCTGAGAGAACTAAAAAAAATCAACACACCTTCACATCGACTTGGCTGAGTTTCTTTTCCTTAAATGGAAAACACAAGTAACTTTGCAACTAGCGCACAAAAAACTACATTTATCAACAGCAAGGGCTGAAAATAAAAAAAAGCCTGACGCTTCTAAAAATTTGATAAAATAATCTCAAGAGTTTCCACGAAATGGCTACCATGCAACAAGCACCAGCGTTGTAATGAAAGAAATGAATTTTTACCCGCTGAGTTCTCTCTGCAAATCAGCCATCAGTTGGTGCGCCTGTGCGTAGAAAGACATCTGAGCCTCTACAAAGTCCCGCAAACACTTGAATTGGTTATTCTGCAATTAGGAGTGTCACTATCCTTAGTTATCGATTTTCTCTAAGATTTCTCCAGATTTCAGTACCAGGGCCTTTTGTAAATTTGTCGTAAATTTTTAAAAAATGAATTAGATAAGAATCCGCAGAATCAAACCTACATGATTTCTTGCTTGACAACTCCCTGATATCAGGAAAGAAATTTTTTGCACTTTTTTGATTAGAATATGGAGCATATCTCACCGCTAAATTGAAAAACCTTTTTACGCTCTCATTCAGAAATGAAAAAATAAATCTTACGTGCGCAGTTTGAATTCCCTCGAGAAGAAGTTTCGTGATTTCAGCCTGTTTGTCAAATTCTGCTTGGGCCACTCGCAAATCCGCTTCAGCCTAAAACTCATGGTGGAATCGAAAAATAAAATCTCTTTTGAAGGGATATAACAAAAAGAAGAAACTCTAGAAAGGTGTCCCAGATACTTCACCACAACATTCACTCACCTGCTCCACAGAAAATCCACCTCCAGTTTTACTATTTGACTGAAATTGTTCCATCATTTTAATTTTTTTGTTTTGTTTTTTTCTCTTTATTTAATTGTTACTATAAACAAAAAAACCAACGTTTCCCTGAGTTTCCACATTTTTTTAGCTTTCTTCAATCGATTTTTTTGCAGGCATCCAAATCCAATCTCTTACTGTTCAAAACTTTGCGCTCTTTCTGAAAATCATCATGAAAGAGAGCAGAAAAGGTAACGATCACCTGGATTGTCTTCATGTCGCCTTCCAGAAAACGACGGATCGGCAAAAGAGTGTGCGAAGCCGCTTGGGCACATAGCTCGCGCTCCGCTTGGCCCAAGCGTTGTTGAGTTTGGGAGACTTTTACCAGAGCACTTCCTTTAAATTATAAGTTACGTTCGTTCATTTTCTTCACAATAAAACAAAAAAAACCGTAAGGTGTTGTAGAGCCAAATTGGTCACCAGCTTCGGACATGGCTGTGGCAAGATGTTCCAGGTTATTTTGGCGGGTGACGCCATCTTTCTTCAGTTCCAACTTTTCGTAAAAAACTTCCTCCATGCGAACAGCTTAAAATGTTCAAAATAAAAAAAATTATCACACTTTTTATCATTCCATTCATTGTTTTTTTTAAAAAACTGTTCAACTTGCAATGTTAATATCAATAAACTGTTTCTTTATTGTTACTTGAAGAAGTTCAAAATAAGAAGATAAGAAAGTTTGACATTCAACGTATGTAATAGATGAGCTAATTTTTTTCGAACTGAAAAGCAAATTATTTTTTTACACCATTTATTTATTTAACTTTATGGCTTAACCTTTTTTCCGTTCAATTTTCCAAAGTCGCGGATTCCCAGATTTTTTTCTCAGTATCAAATTACTCAAGAAGAACTTTTCCAATTTTCCCACATGGGAGCTCTGTGAAGAAGAAAAATTTGTGAATTCGCGTTGATGATGTGTTGGTAGGACTTCAATCAAAAAAAAACGGGAGTATCGAAGGAAAGGGCAAATGTTAAAAATATTTCTCACTTGGATTTGGCTGCAAGTAGCTCTCGATTGCAGAAAGAAGACGACGAGTATGTTCTTCCGTTTTGTCAGCACGTTGCAGCAAATTTTCAAAGTGAGAGTCGAGCTCCGTTCTTTCAGCTTTGAGAAAAAGTTTCTTCGGTTAACTAAATAAATTCAATTTAAATGTTTTTTTATGATAAAACTCGTAAAACGTACAGAAACTAAAAAAATTCTTGTTTTCTTTAAAAGTTTTTTTCCAGATAAAAAAATGACACTTAAAATTTTTTTCTATTCTCTTGAAATTTTTTTCAAACTGGTTTAGAAAAAAATCAAAACGAAGCTGACAAACCTGCTTAGCCCGTGTGAAAAAACCGCCGGCCTCGGAGGCCATTTTTTTGAAATTGAAATCCATGTCTAAAAATGCATGGATGAAGTTGTTTGTCAACAAATAATATAAAAAAAATTAGGAACGCGAGAAAAGAGTAGGATGAACGGAAGTTAGGGGCGAGTGCCGGAAAGGCAGAAGCGAAAATCGATGCGAAACTGCGTTATGCCCATGTGAAAAGCTGACGGAGGGCCGGCCAAGGCTTTTTGGTTGTTGAAGTCAACAAAAATAAAAAAAAAAGCTTGCACCATCGAGCTTTTCAGTTAAAACAGATAAGAAACTAACAAAGAAAGATAAAATTGGAACGAATAGAATAAAAATTCATTAAATTGGTTGCAAGAGCTCCATCTAGCAGATTACACAGTTTTTCCAATAAAAATCTGTCGAAGATCTTCATTCTGTTAATTTTTTTCTTTTTTTGAGGCAAACTGCTTTCCGATCTAAAAAAAAATTCAAATCAAGAACAAGATATCGCCTGATAAGAATTGATAGTTACTGTGAACTAAATTGAATTTTTATTTGAACATTAATAAAGCTCTTGTATAGCCTTGTTACTGAAAACTTTCTGTGATGAAAACATAGGAAGCTTCTAAAATGAAAAAAGCGAAAAGAAAATTGGAATTTTTTTATTTGACAGCAAGTCGCTCAGATGTGCGAGCCGCGCACCTAGGCGCAAAATCACGTACTAAGCGCACGGTTGAATTGCACTTGCCGATCAATATATTAGTTAGTTTTTATTAAGAGCAAGAAAAACATTTTGAAGTAAGGTTTTTTTCACGAGATTTGTTCGTTTCGGAACTTTGATCAAATTCAATTCTTTGTTTAATGAAATGATTTTTCATAGATTAAACTATAAAGAGCCCGCAATATAGTTACAGATGTAGAGTGCTTTATTGAGATTCCAACTACCGAAATCGTAATTCTGATACACATTTTGTGGGTTAGCCGAAAACTAATGAACTATAGGAAATTTCGAAAAGCAGCTGATCGTCGGAAAGCTCAACACTCAGCTATCATCTCAAGGACTTAGGGGGGAGTGATCACTATAGTGATACCTGAGGGGCTCTTTTAAATTTCCCTCATGTGACCGCCATTCTTCCTCTTCCCCCAGGGGCCACTAAAACTTGCACAGGTGGTCACACTAAAGATTTTAATTAGTGGATATCTAGAGAGCATTGTAGTTGATAAATTTCATTAATTAGTTTTTCTATTTTTCAAATAAAAACTTTATGAAAATGCTACATGGACAACTCAAGCTTCAGAAGCCAAGGGATGACATTCTGAACTCTTTTGGAGAGCAACCAAGTCTTAGCTCTAGAAAGCACTGGTTCATCCAATTTGGGGGCTTGCACTTCTCAAGCCGCTCCAGTAACCTCTCCACCGTTCCTAAGAAGAGGAATGGGTTTGATGATTCACGCACCGTACCTGATCAAAAACATTTTCAAGAATATAAAAACAACTCTTCAATTATTTCATGACTCAGCAGAAATCTTCTCTGAAGACTAAATAAACCTGTTATCCACTGAAACAAAAAGTTATCTGATAAAAAAAAGTCAATTTTTTTGAAATTTTTTTCTTGACCGAGTTTGGAGATTTGAAGGGAGTCTTTTGCAAAACTATTTTTTTGAAAACCTGAAAAAAATAGCCGGATAATATATTGAAAAAAAGTAGAAACGACACTGAGTAACTTAAAAAAACTTTGAAAGGTGAATTTCCGAAATCACTCTCATCTCATCTTTATGTTATCTCTGAACACTTCCCACATTCAGACCAGACGTCTATCCGTGCAGATTGATTCTGGGAAAGTTTGAATTTCATAGTATAAAAAAATCGATATAATCCTTCCAAACGAAGTTGGCTGTAGTAATTTGAACGTTGTCCGAAAAAAACCTCGAACGTTTTTGTGAAATCGAAGATTTGCGAATTGATTGAATCATCAATTTTTTTTCATTAAAAATCAAAAATAGGCTTGGCTAATCCTACGAATCGGACCTAAAAGGATTGGAATGCACTGCATTGGAAGCAGAAATTCACTGCTTGAGGATAAAAATAAACTATTTTTCTTTCCTTTTTTTCTCTAAAAAAATCGGTTTTTTTATTACGACTAAATCATTAATTCTGGTTTTTCTTCGTTATTTTTCTTTGTTTTTTTAGTTCAATGCGTTGAATGCTGATTGAACTGTTTCCTTTTCTGTGATTTCGAAAAAAATAAAATTTTTGAAAAATTTATAAGTAAATGCATTGTTGGCACAAAGAGACAAGCTATGGCACAACGCAAAAAAATACATCAAGAAATGGAATGCCGCGAAGATATCGCGAAAATCAATGGTTTCATGAAACGAAGCAGTGCGAAATTTTTCAATTTCGGTAGTAACAGGTGCGTTCAACTATTGTTTCCAACAAAGTAAGAAAGCGAACATGAGAAAAATTGCACATGGAAAAGCGAATGGCACCAAGAATGCGTAAATCAAGAATAAAAATATTTTGTCATATTTTCAAAATGAGGAAGCACAGATGTTTACAAAGAAAAATTGTTTTTTTTTTGAGGAAAACAGAAAAAAATATTTGCAAATTAGAAGTCAGAAACTGACCGATTTTCTGACATTTTGAACTCGAAAAAAATTGGCCAAATCGAAATTTGTTGAATCGAAATACACCGTATGAAGCTTGCACACTAAGTAACTCGCGCACAAAAAAGTCAAACTTGTTTCTCAGGGCGATTGAAAAAAGATCTACATGTTTAGACAAACAAAAACAGTTTACACGGGAACTTATGACAAGGCGCAGGTCATCATTACGCTCTACGAATCTTCTTCGAGAATAAAAATGTATTTTCACTTTCGAACCGTAAAAGCAAAACGAATTATACAAAACAGAATAAGATGAGGAAAAGACTAACAGCTGGGTCGCTGGAGAAACTAAAGATATACGAAAAGATATAGGACATTGAAGGAATATCAAAATGATGATCAGCATCGATTTTCAAGCTCATAGTGACGTGACGAGCTCTTCTTCGTCGTCGTCATAGTCCTCTTCGAGAATGACGAGGTCTCCGTCTGAGTAGTACATCTCTTCGCTGGACTCTCGCACCAACTTGCCTTCTTCATGGTATCCTGAAAATTACAAATCATTTTTTTTTCGCTTGCGCATTTTGAGAGTTTTGAGTTAACTATGAAACAAGCAGTGAATGTTAATAGAGGTCATTTCAGCTCAAAATTCAAAATTTTCTGTCAATTTGCTCAAAAAATCTTTAAAAAAATCTTCAAAAACTTTTTACTTGCCCGCCTTTATTCTTGATAAACTTAGATATTTGAAATTCATAGAACCAAAACTCACCCCGAAAAGACCGAAAATTCTCAGAAAATTTCAAAGTGCTTAAAACAGGACTTCCTCGTCAGAATAATTTTGAAGTCCACAAGTTCGTGAGTTTAATGGTTTTTTATTAAATGAGTGTTTTTAGTATTCAAGTTTTTTTCTACTATTCGAAAAAAAGATAATCAAAAAAAGGGCTGAAAAAGCTAAATTTTGGAAAAGAGGAGACCAAATATTTGACGACATTCTGGAAATCTGACAAAAATCTCCATTTTACGTTTCGAAATGAAGACATCTTCAGTAAAGTCGAGAATTTGTATTATATCACTTTTCTCGAAACAGACGTCACTAACCGCTTTCGTCGGAAATGCTGTCAGGCTCTCCTCGGTTGTTAGGACGATGTCGTTCGTCGTCCGAGCAAACGCTTGATCCAGCCCAGGCATTCGTCGCTGAAAACTCATTTGAAAAAAAGAAAGAAACTTTTAAGCGTTGCTGAACCTTACTTCATCAAAAGTTTCTAGGTTTCTCGAAGTTCTAGAGTTTTTTCTTTGAATTTTTCATTACTCCATTTTCGAATATATTTAAAGATATTGTAATTGTAGATTGATTATTTTTCCGAGAAAACTGTCTAGATCAACTTGTTCAACCCACAATCGTATTTACCTTGGCCACTGGACTCGGGTGGATTCGACGGCTCGCTGGCGCTGAACGAGGCTGTCGAAACGATGTCAGGGGCAGCGCGATAGCACACGGACTCGTTATCGGAGATTTCCTCCTCCTAAATAAATCAATATAAAAAAGAATTAAATAAACATCAGCGAACTTCTTGTTCCTCATCAATGCTTCCGAGCCGCGGCGCCGACTTGGAACGGCTGACGGGAGGACGAAAGTTAAGCGTGCCTGTCTGCAACAAGATTTTCCGCCGAGGACAGCCTGTTGAGCCGGTCAAACGCGCGTTTTGAGCAGCCAGCTTTTCTCTTTTGTACTCCTGAAAACGTTGGATTTGAAGTTGTGAAGCCCTAATTTTTCAAATTTGACAAAACCTGGAGAGCGGCGTGCAGGAACTCCTGCAGTTTATTGTTGATGATCATTGGATCTGAAGTTTTCTTACACAATACCGCGTGACAGCGCAATTCGGGCTTTAGTCTGAAGAAATTTGGTATTTTTTTCCCAAAATAATTGAAATCGCTACCTCTTTCCATCATGCTTGTATATCCAGCAAAAAACTTTTGGATATTGAGGAGGAGCCGCCGAAAAAGTGATTCTGCACAGGAGAACATGAGTGAACCGATATTGAAAGGCTATTTTACCTGTGAGCCCAATACTCCGTCAACCCTTGTTGCTTAGTCTCGGCTTTGAGACCAGACCTCGTTATCTGAAGGAAGAAATGATTTTTTGCAGATTTTTTCAAAAACCTCGAGATTCATTCCTAAATCTGAGCGATTTCTGGTGCAGTAGGCCTTCCAAATCAAAGCAAGCGGTTTCTCGTAGCAATTATCACCGCGTGCCATCACAGTAAGAACATTTCCCAAGTAAATGACGGTGTATGTTTCTTCCGGGGGATTGATTGTATATCTGAACGCTCGATGAGTTTTGCAGCTTTTTTCCTTTTTTCTTCAGATTAGAAAAAAATTTCGAAAGTATTGCAAACTTTCAAGTTTTCTCGAAAAAGAAGAAGAGAACAGTACAGTGCATATCAAAAAACTCAAACCAAAAATAAATTGAGAAATGACTCACCGTTGTTTCTTCCGACGAAAAGGCAACGTGAAAAATTGGGCGGCAGATGTGGAACTTCCCATGAACGGCATCTCTGCAAAAACGTATAAATAAGAATTTTACAATTGTTCACAATAAAAATGAGCCGTTGCGATAAACACAAGCACGTAGGGAAAAGGAAAAGCCGATGAAACAGTGATTCACTTGGAAAAACAGGTGGTATTGTCCTAAAATAGAAGGTTTCTCACGAAAGCACGCCCTGAAGACCCAGAGGGCCGCAATAGATAGGAAGTAATGGGCACTAGACGCGTCAAAGAGAATAGAAGAATGCGGTTCTGAATTCCGCGAAAAACGACCAAACTGAATAAATGGAGAAGGCTGTGGAAAGTTCTTTTTTTGGTGACTGATCTGGAAGTAACGAAAACCAGGAAGAAGAGGCGTGGCCAAAGATGGAACGCCTCGGCGATGAAATTTATTTTCTTTCCTGAAACTTCTCACGAAATTGAGAAAAACGACCAGGAGAAACTGATTCAGAAGTCACAGAACACAAGAGGTCAAAGAGCCTGACGGAAATCTCCAGTCATGGCGCAAACAATAAAAACAGTAAATGACAAAACAAGTTCTAAAAATGTTATCAGAGACTTTCGGGGCCAAGTTTTCGAAACAATCTGACGATTTGTCGAATAGAACTTGAAAAACGCAAATCTTGCTAGACATGAGGAATGACCCCAGTTCACGTATTGAGTAAAAATCGCATCTGGATTCCTTAATGTGATAAGTTGATCTTAGATCAGCGTATCCCTTCGCCAAATAAGTTAGTCGAGACACTGTCTACCAATCAAACAGATCGCTGCAAAAAATGTTTTTTTGTGATCCATAGAAATTTTTTCCAAAAAGAATGCGTTGCAGATTCGCTTCGCATTTTTGCCAAAGCTCTTTGAAATTAAAAATTAGTTTAGTCTAAGAGTTCCTGTATGCTTCGAAAAACCTGATTGAAGAGAGTTTTATTTGAAAAATTAGTGAAAGACATAAGTGATTGAAGATTTTCATTCCACGCAAGTTTAGAGAAACTCATGATAAATCGGATCGATGTTAAGGATTCATAAAAAGTTTTTTCGAAAACTTAGGGTCTACTGAAATTTGAATAATGATAATCGAAAAGCATCAAAATTGCAAATTTCGAAAACTGTACGTTTGATCTGACAGCGGGGATCACAAATTAAACATTCACAAACTATATCTCTTAATAGGATTTTTCGGTTTTATCGATTCTTATGATGCTTCGACGTTTGTAGTTGTTTCTGTTTGATTTTTTCCATCATTCGGAAAATTCAATTCTCAACTTGATTTTCTTTTTCTAAAGAACCACGAGTTCTTATCACTGATACATGATTGTCTATGATGACTGAAGGCCAACTCATTGGGTACACATAAGTTAACCGAACGCCTTCTGGAAGAAAATTGGACTTCGCCTCAAGAAATCAGTGCGGTAGAAGGCTCCAGTGAGAAATTCATTGAATATATCAAGTTGTTTCTGTGAATTCTTTTTACAGAAAACAACTCTGAGAATTGTAAAGTGTCCCGGGCGAAAACATAAAAACTGCACATATTAAAAAAAGGTTTTCCACGAGTCAAAGGAAAAAATTCCCAGAGGTAAAATTTTACGCTTTTAGTTTTGAAGGACAGTTGAGAAAACTTTCTGAATAGCTATTTTTACAGTGCGATTGCCTTCTTACATTTAAATAGAAAACTCGAGTTGGCATCGGTTTACAGTAATTTTCAAAACTCTCACAAAGCCTTAATTTAATTTGAACTGATTTACTGAAAAAAGGTCATGAAAAGATACAAACTACAAAAGATCACAGGCTAGTGCGAATATTGTTAGAATCGAAAATACTTTGAGGATCGTATCGTTGCGACATGGAAACCGGATTGTGAACGGTTTTTTGAAACAATCATTGACAGTTGTCAACTTCCGTGTCGGAATGCCCATCATCCGATAGATCAGCACATATTCTTCTAATAACTAGTATAGACGAGAAAAAGTGCGACACAAGAAAGCAGAACAGTGGAAATCGGAAGAAAAAACTGAACTATCACTGAAACTCAAGTGGAAATACAGTGATGTATAAAAATTACTACTGTGAGTGTAAACTAATTCAATTTCTCATCCCACAAATGTTGCACGATTTTCAAGATTTATTTTCCGAGCACTCGACTTTTCTCCCGCTTACTCTGGTTTTAAGAGTTATTATTTACGCGCCTCACTGTTATCGCTTGGGGAAAGACATCTCCGACGAGGAACTAGTCAATTCTTAATGTGGAGATTAATCGGGAAAAGCTTAAATTAGAAAAAAACAAAAAAACTGAGAGTGAGTCTCATGGAAGTGAATAAAAAATAACGATGGAGAGTTTATTGAAAAAAATTTATGGATAGCGGAGTATGTAAGACTTTGAAAAAAATGTTGAAAAATTTCGTCTTAAATGTCAGAGGCATAAAAAAATATGAAAATACGAAAGTAAACGTTGTGAATAATTAATAGCCTTTTAGTAACAGTTTAACCATTGAGGTTTAAAAATATTCACTAACAGAAAAGTAACTTTTACAAAAAAAGAAAACTGCGTGGAAGAGGAACGAAAAGCGAAGATAGTGCGAACAAGCTTGAACAAGAAGGAGGCGTGGCGTCGAAAAAGTGAGGTAAAAGAACCATAGTGAGGCAACAGAAGGGCAAAAATGACGTGAAAAAAAGGCGCGATCCATGTTTAGAATCGCAGCAGGTGGTTGTACTCTTGCCTGAAGCATCCAAACATTTCTGTAATTTGAAGCACTTTCAACATCTGCAGTTGTGAACCATTGTTTTTGAATTGCAACGCGTTTTCTGAACAGCTGCAAAACAGTTTGAAAGAGTTCTTTACGGAGCCTAAAGTGCAAAATACTTCTGGTAATTTTCTATGATTTGCATTTTTTGTGTCCAAAATTGCTCGTGGCTAATCCAAGTAAAAATAAACGACAAGAAAGAGGTGAAAGACTGAGACGGATGTTCCGCCCGGATGCTATTAGCCGTCAGGTAGGACTTGCTTGACCAGCATCGTACTCATGCCATTTTTGTCACAAACAGAATTATCGATTCTATTATTCGTTCAAAAAGAATTGAAAGAATATTATCACAAACAAGAAAACACAAAAATGTTACTCCTTCACATTTCAATTGTTATAGTGGGAAGAGCAATGTTTAAATCGAGAGTCTTGAGAAGAAAATTTTCAAAAAAGTTTTGGATTACATACAAGACCTGAGAATACCTTAGCAGTGAATACATGAATTATTTTTTACATTGAACCGCGTCCTGGAAAAATGACCATAAATTGTCCCAAATCATCATCACAGAAAAAATCTTCAAATCAGCAACAAAAGTCAAGTATGATGCAAAAAAATCGGCAAAGGGAAAAGCGCTGGCACAACGCAGATAATCAGTGCGATTCGGTGGCGGGTTGAGACCGGTTGCGCCGGAAAACGGCTCCTTGCTGCCAAGCTTTGCAAATTTTGCGCAGCCGAAACATACCGTTTGTTTTCAACGCCGCCTTTCGCATAAAACCGCCTAATCCCATGCAAAACACACTGGTCCATTGTTCGGACAAGGCACAAAATCGCCGAAGAACTCGGATTTTAGAAAGTTGCACAAAACTGAGGTTCTTTTGTTCGATCTGCAATTTGAGAGTAGCGACCAAAAAGTTTTACCTTCTCTCAACTCTTTCAGGCAGCGAATATCTCTTCTTTTTTGAGCATTCGTGAATTATTCAGAACTCGAAAGTTGGGATGCTGTAAGGACAAAGTCAAATATAGCTTCGGCTAGAAAGACTTCCGCAAAGGAACGCGGAGTTGGAAAGAATTATCACAAAATTCCTGTTGAAGTCGACTCTCTGAGATTTGAATTCAAGAAGGTTGGAAATTGCTGCGTGCGTTTTGGCCTACAACTGAAGGTTTCATTTTTCTGATTTGAAGAAATGTAGCAAAGATTCAAGTCTCACCAAGAATCGAAACAATAAAGAGCCGTGAGCCTGTTCAAATGTTTCTCGCATATTGGTTTTTAATGACTTTCTCTTTGAAAAAAGAGAAACCTTGAATAATCTGAGCTCAGGATGCTACAGATAGTTGTGAGAAAGAAACTAAAAGTATGTTGATAAAAGACAGCAGGACAAAATGATCGGCATCGTTTGAGATGACAAAAGGGAACGGACTGGCGGATAAAGCTGAAAAAAGACAAACAGAACGAGGAAAGAGAGCGTACGTGTGGCACTAGCGCTGAGTCTGGCTCATTAGGGTCGCACATACTTTTGGCCATCCGTAAAAGCTACCATTGGCTCGAAAAATTTTCATGGACACCTAAATCAACTGGAACTTCCCGCTGGGAATGCATGGCAGCCCAAAAAAGAAGGCGAGAGATTCTTCCTTTGTAAAATTTACGGGTTTCCATTAGTGACGTGAGAGTGAGCCGAAAAAAGGAAGAGCTCTGTGAAAGGAGCTTTTACGATCCTCTCCAAGAAAAACTCTTTTGCTTTTGAAAAGCAGAACGCGACAAAAAGACTATTCAATTTGTGGTCGATTTCAAAGTAACTCGTTTATTTTCTCTCTCGCCTCAAAGGTCGTGCTTCTCGCCATTATCCTTCCACTCTATAACAATGATGGAGAAATCAGTTGGAGTTGTTGACCAGAAAGAATAAAAACTATTAGAGAGGGCTAAAATTACCTTACTTTCGTCGGAAATTGTTTGCGCTGGAAAAGTGACAGCGTGTGCAGAAAAATCTCACCACTTCAATTTTGTTTGTTGATACTGTCGAATCGGAACGTAAGTGCTTGGCTACTTCCTCTGATTACCAGAAAAAAGGATTTTTGATGATTTAACTATTGAAGCTTGCAAAAAACTCTTTTCTATGCCTTTTTACTTTGAAAAAAGAGACTCCCGGGGAAACTATTTCAAACACTGTGATAAAATAGTGAGATGAAGGATTCATTCAGAAATTGAGTTTTTTGATGGATAGCACAGTTTTCTGTCGTGAGCTTCAAAAAGAGCAGGATCATAGGAAGAATAAATT